CTCCTGGGACTGGCAGGGCTGGCAGGCAGCTCCAGGGTCTCCGCTCTAAGTGGCTCCTCTTGCCTGTCCTTCGTGCCTGCCAGGTCCATCTAAACCACATGGACTTGTGGCCACCACTCCAGATGCGTCCAGCAGGGGGTGGGTTTCACCTCACTGTGGCCAGGAAAAGGACATTTTCCCACACAGAAGGCCCTTTCACTTGGCAGACCTTGTTCCTAGATCCTTGGTCACCAAGCATCCCCCTTACTAGCCTAGAAGTGATTACTAGCCCACTACTAGTGATTTAGGGTTTAAATGAGGAAGAATCCCTGTTAACTGGGCCCCAACATTTAACAACACTCAATATATCAGTCATTAACACTCTAGTGTAAATGAGCCAAACTCTACCCCCCCCCCAGCTAGGTGGATGTTGCCTAAGGAGACCTCATTAGTCTGTTTTTGCAGGAGGAGAGATGTGGAAAAAGAAGCAGAGCCAGGGATACCCAAAGAAGGGAAATAGGGCAAAGGTGGGGGGCAGAAAGGAGGGGATTTGTGGGCAAGGAACCAGAGGAAGGGAAGTGGGACAAGCATTGTTAAGGAGAAGGCCTCTTATCTGTCCATTTCTTCACAGTCAACAAAGCACAGTCACAGGAAAGTCCCCAAGTCTTGTATCCCTCCCTCCCCCGGTTTCCAGATGGGGGCACTGAGGCCCAGAGAGAAGGGACTCACTGTAGATCACGCAGACATCCAGGTGTCCTAACTCCAAATACAGGTGCCCTGGTTGCCACCCTGTCGTCCTCCCCTGACCCAAGGTGCCGGTCTCTCCCCCTGAGGATTCCTGAGGAGGGCAGGAAAGCCCTCTCTCGGAGCCCTAATTTATGATTTTCCGACAGCTTCCTTCCTCCCATCACTCCTTCTAGCTCCCGTCCCAGCTTCATGAAGAAGGAATGAACTGGGTGAGAAGGGCAGCTCCATGGAGCATAATTAACTTGGCTGGGCAGCTGCAGGCTCTCCGGGTCCCCCAGCATCCCCGCCCTGGCCCAGCGAGGGGCCGCAGGGCCAGGCCTCCAGATCAAAGGCACAGAAAGCGGGCATTGTTCCCTAACCTGGAAGGCCGGCCCACTGGCCCTGCCCTTTGTCTGGGCAGAGGCTTCGATGGCGCTGGCGCTGACTGGGCCCCTGGGGGCTGCCGCCACAGGCTCCGGTACCCCCAGGCCTCTTGGGCTGCTCCCTCCCCTGTAGAATGTGCACATGGGTACAGATCAACTGGGGCACCTGGACTCACACAAGCTGGTGTGCAAGCAGGGCTAATTTTATGGGTCCCCCCCCACCCCGAGCTGGGGAGACTGTCCTTGGGACATAGGCAGAGGGAAGAGGTCCTTAGCACAGGCTCCAGGGGCAGTTCACAGGGAAGGGAGGCTGCGACCCAGGTTTGTTTGCTATTAGAAGAACAGCATTTCCTGTTTGGATTAGGCCGGCTGGATGTGTCAGTGAATACACACCAGAAGGGCTGTGTTTCCCAGACCCCATGGCCTGCTCCCGGTGTGTGTGTGTGTGTGTGTGTGTGTCTGTGTGTGTGTGTGTGTGTCTGTGTGTGTGTGTGTATGTGTGTGTGTTTATGCATGTGCTCCCTCTCACGGGAGTCTAAATCTGAGCTGAGTTCTCTTTTTGCCCAAAGAAACACCCTTGCAGGGTCAGAGGGCAGCAGTGTGGCCTAATGGGTAAGTGCAGAGGCCGGCACCCATCACTCACCAGCCGTGGGCCCCGCACCTGGGGATAATATGGAGGCCTCCCGGGTTTGGGAGAAGAGGGCAGGCGACAATGCAAGCAAAATGCTTAGCACAGCGCCTGGCACACGGTCAGCGCTCAGACCGGACCGGAAGCTGCTGTTGTTACTGGCGGTTGTGGTTCCGTCTTGGCAGCTGAGAAGATCAGCCCCCCAGGGAAGAGGCCCCACCCACAGGGGCCTTGAGCCAGCGGACCCCTCTCCTCCCCATCTCAGCAAACACTGAAACCTCAAATGACCAAACCCAGGTCCCTGCAGCATTTCCTGCCCTTCCTGCTCAGTGGGGAAAGAGGACCAGAAAATAAGCTGATATCCACCAGGACAGTGCACCCTCAAAAGGGGGCTTCATACTGTGCCCCAGGACCACCGCGCAGAGACCCAAAGCTTTAAAAACTGCCTTGTTTTTTGTTTGTTTAATTGAAGTATAGTTGATTTACAATGTTGTGTTAGTTTCTGGTGTACAGGCAAGTGATTCAGTTATATATATATATTCAGATTATTTTCCATTATAGCTTATTACAAGATATTGAATATAGTTCTCTATGCTATACAGTAGGACCTTGTTGTTTATCTATCTTATATAAAGTAGTGTGTATCTGTTAATCCCAAACTCCTAATTTATCCCTCCCCCGCTTTCCCCTTTGGTAACCATAGGTTTATTTTCTATGTCTGTGAGTCTGTTTCTGTTTTGTAAATACGTTCATTTGTACCATTTTTTTAGAATCTACAGGTAAGTGATATCATATAGTATTTGCCTCTCTCTCTCTGACTTACTTCTCTTAGTATGATAATCTCTAGGTCCATCCATGTTTCTGTAAATGGCAATATTTCATTCTTTTTTTATGGTTGAGTAATATTCCATGGTATATATGTACCGCATCTTCTTTATCCATTCATCTGTCGATGGACACTTAGGTTGCTTCCATGTCTTAAAACTGCCTTGTTTTTTCAGGCAAGGAAATGAGGCTCTGAGAGGGGAGGTGACTTGTCCCGGGTCACACAGTGTCCAGTGGTTGCTCTGGAATTGACACCTAGGCCTATGGGGTGCTGAGCCTATGTGGTAACCACCAGGCTGCACTAGCATGGGGGTCTAGCTGTAGTTTTAAATAAATACCCTGGACCAAGGGACCCCAGCCTCAGTAAGGATAGGACCCTTTCTGATGTCCAAATGTTGATAACAGCTTTTCCTGGGAGCATCCATTGCTGGAGAAATTTGCAGTGGCCTGGAGCGCCCACGAGTTTGGTGATAAAGGAACATGTATGCCATTCATCACAGGAGCATCTCAGACACGTTGCAAAAAGATGTGGTAGTGCCTCCTCATTCTGTGGCCCTCCTGAGCCTTCCCAGGACAGAAGCCACTGCCCAGCACTTCCCCTTCCTAAAGAGCTGCATACCCTCCAAAGTGCCCTTTGGGGTGTTGGGTTTTGATCGTGGCCGCCTGACCAGGCCTCAGATGGGCCTGGGACCATCTCATGAGATGGCCCCTTGAGAGTGACAAGTTATCTAGAGGATTAAGTAACTGATCTAGTTGTGTCAAAAATAAGAGCTAACCAGAGAGGTGCAAAGCTGCTTTTCTTGGGGGTCAGACAGATGGCACATAGAGGTGCCCAAAAATCACAGGTGGAAGGGAGGGAGCTCCCCTAGGGGGGCAAAGTTGGCACCATGATGATGTGATGATGTTGTTGGAGGATGTGAGGAGCCCTTGGGGGAACCACGTGAAGCAGGGGACTGTGGGGGTCAAGGCATATCTCATTCCTGCACACACGCCATAAGGAACGTGCAACTGTTCTCCTTACAAAGAGAAACTGAGGCTCAGAGAGGGGCAGGCCTTGCCCAAGCTAACACGGGCAGAGGGGGCAGAGGGAGGGTTTGAACCCAGCTCTCACTGCCTGCCCCCTCGGGGGACAGGAGTCGGCTCTCTCCACTGGCACACCCTCCCCCCTCTGACTCAGCCCAGGGCCCTGTGCTGCTCTGGTGAGTCTAGGAGAGGTAGTCCCAGGAATCAGAGGTCAGGGCCAGCATGCCCTTCTTGCTGGAGTGTTTCTAGCAGAGATCCTAGATCTGGACAAGCCACAGCAGGATCCCGTAGGACAGGTCACTGGTGCACTGCCGGGGTGGTAGGGGCTTCACCAGCCTGGGACTGCCTGCTGCCCATCAGTTCTGGCAGAAGGGGGTGGGGGGGAGGTCAGAGACTGTCCTGGAGTTTGGGGAGGGTCTGGATGCCCTCTGATGAGAACATAAACATACTCTCCTGTCACAGACACATACACCACACACATGCATACAGGCATCACACATTTCACATGCCCCCATCACACCTGCACACATATGTATCACACACACATACCATACTTTCATACTCTTTGGTGGAATTCACATGTACCCCAGATGAAGTAACTCCATGTACCCCAGATGAAGTAACTCCACTGTAAGCCAGTCCTTTCCTTGTCACTGATGGGCCCAGAGCAACTGATGTCTGCACTCTTCCTTAATTGTGCTAAAGAGCTGACACCCCCTCTGAAGTCAGGAGACCTGGATTTGAATCCGAGCTCTTCCAACCACTGATGGGGTGCTTTAGGCAGATGACATCTCCTCTCTGCCTCAGTTTCTCCATCTGTAAAATGGTGATACAAGTGGACACTGACTTTATGGGGTCAGCCCAGGTCTTCTCCCAGGGGGACTACGAGTGCCTGGGCCTCCTTTTTTCTCTCTGTAAAATGGGGATAATTGTGCCCACCTCACCCAGAGTGGTTTGAAGATTAAACCGAGAGAGGATGTGAAGCGGAGGTGAGGTGCCCTGCACACAGTGGCGTTCACTGCTCAGGAAGCCTTTGTTGCATGGATGAACCGTCCCTCGTGGCTCGGGAACTGGAACCCTCAAAAATGTCGAGAGGGGATGAGGCCCCCGCATCATTAGCCCAGGCTTGTTGGGTTTGGGTCCTGGCTGCGTCTGAGACCATGGCCCGGCTTCAGCTCCCCACTTGGCAACACGTGGGAGGGCACCTCGAAACTGGCACTGCGCCCCCAAAAGGGCCACGCGGCGCAGGGCGCCAGGCTCAGGTGGGCACCTGGTGGCCATCCTGGCGGGGGCGCCCGACCCCCGGGGCTTCTTCCGGGTTGGCAGCGGCGGCGCAAAGGGCGGGGGGCCGCGCGGAGGGGCCGGGCGAGGCCGGGAACGCGCGCCCCCGCCCCGCGCCCGCCTCCCGCCCGCCCTCCCGCCGCTGCGCTGGGAACCGGGATCCGCGCGTCCTGGGCGGCTGGCTGCGCGGGCGGGGACGCCAGGCTGGAGGCGACGGCGAGGGTCCGCGCGCGGAGGGCGCCGGGCGCAACATGGGAGGCCCGCGAGCCTGGGCGCTGCTTTGCTTCGGGCTCCTGCTCCCGGGAGGCAGCGCCGCGTGGAGCGTTGGGGGAGCCCCGTTCTCTGCACGCAGGTAAGGGCTGCCCCTACCCCCCGCACCACCTCTGTGCCCTGCCAGCCCGGGGTTGGGGACAGGGACTCCAGGAACCGCCCCCCCACAAACTCCGTGCAAGCCCGGGATTGGGAAAGGGACCCGGTTCCCCACCTCATTGCCAGCCCGGGTTGGGGCAGGAACCCTGGGCCTCCTCGCTATCTGGCAGAAGCTCCAGGCCCTGCGGGGGTCACCTACTTCACGTATACAGAGCCGGCAGTCCCCCGACAGCGTTCTCCACCCCCCACCACTTCACCTCCAGAGCCACAGGGGGTGGTTTCCCCCGAGGGAGGAAACCACCAAGACTTCCCCCACCCTTTCCCTAGGGCCCCCTTCCTGCACATAGGAGAAGCCCAGGACATCCTCTAGCTGCCACTTGGGGGACCCTCCCCGCTTTACTCTGCTCCTGGCTTTTTTTTAGTATCCCAGCTATTTATTTCTCTCAAAGGAAGAAGACTGGGGTGGAGTTTCACAGACCGAGGGTCAGTGTCGGCTCCCAGGGAGCTGGCATTTTGGACTGCGCTGGGAGCAAGTGCTCTGTCTTCCTGCTGCTCTCTCAGGAGCAGGGAGCATTCTATCTGGTGGTGTTTATGGAGCATCTCCCAATACCAGTGAGGGGGCCCTTTATGTGCAGTGTTCAAGGATTGAATGAGGTAGGGAACACTTGTCCCCATTTAGCAGATGAGCAAACTGAGGCCCCAGAGAATTAACAATCTTCTAGGCTCATTGACCATTAATAGAAGAACTGGGATTCAAATCTGTGTCTTTCTGGCCTTGGTGACTCTGTTTGGACCTACCCAGGCCCCTGTCCTGGCTGTAGCCCCTGCCCCTGCCGGGGTCCTGTTTCGAGGGCCAGCCTCCGCTGTTGTCTGAGGCAGACAATACGGAGTAGCCAGGCCTCTCCAGGCCTTTTCATCCCATTCAAAGGCCTGCCCGGCCCCCACCCCCTACGGGCTCAATTCTTTAATTCTTTTCAGAAATTCCCTTTTCCCAGTGGTCAGGGGCCAGCGTGCCCCTGCTGGGCTAGCAAGAGCAGGTGACATGGGCAGGGCTGGAGGGCAGAGGTGGCCGTGGCATCAGAGGCCAGAGGAGCAGTTGTTTTGAGACAGGGGCTGACGGCTGGCAGATGTCACAGCCACCACCATGCATGCTGACCTGGGCTGGCATTTCACTTGTACCTATACCCTCCAGAATCTTCCTAACTGCCATGGGAGGCACACATTTTTATGGTCCTCATTTCATAGAGGAGGAAGGTGAGGCTCAGAGAGGGGACATGACCTGCCTAGGGCAAGGATGTGAACCCCCAGGGTCCCCAGTGTCAAGCTCAGGATGATGGTTGAGAAGGCATAAGGCTTGGACTGCCCTTTAGCCAGTCCACTGCCTCCCAGCCTGGGCTCCTTGGCCCCCCAGGACTTGCTATGTGGGAGCAGGATGGCGTCTGTGGGCAGGTATCTGGTGGTCACTGGGGACTGTCACCCCATCTGGTCATAGAAGGCTCACAGTGGCCTGAGCATCACAAAAGCTCTGTAGGCAGTGCTGCTGCTCCCATTTTACAGATAAGAAAACCAAGGCCAAAAAAAAAAAAAAGAAAACCAAGGCTTAGAGAGGAAAAGACACCTCAATCTAAGTCAGTCAGTTTCCAGATCCAGTGTACTTTTCACTCCAGCAGCTCTCCTGGAGGAGGGCGAGCTTTTGTCAGCTTGGGGAGCTGAGAAAGGTTTGCAGGTCATGGTTAGGAATTAGGGGCTCTGGCCTCAGGTAGAGCAGCGTTTTATTCCTGGCTCTGTCACCCACTCAATGTGTGACCTCAGGCAGGTCTCTTCAGGGCCCCAGGTCTCAGTTCCCCTCTTTCCTCCCCTCATCCCCTGCACACAGGCCTGTTCTGAGGACAGTCCCCCACAGGAGGAACCAGTGCAGGGCCTGATGTACAGTGGTTCCTGCTATGACCAACATTAAGTGAGGGGAGGGACCCGTAGCCAGAGGAGTCTGGTTCTTGGCTGCGAGGACCTCCCCTTGTGGCCCCGTCCCAGCATCATTGGAGACGGCATGGGGATGTTGCTCCCCATCAGCCCTCCCTCCACCCCTATCCCGGTGCCCCAGGCACCCCTTGGCAGCCAAGAGACCAGAGGGAGAAAAGAGGCTTTGTGCCTGGGGAGGGGGAGGCCCGGGAAGGCATCCAAGGGGCCGCCCCCAGGCCCAAGAATGTGGCAAGACTTTGAGACCCCTGGAACCAGGGTGTCCAGGGCTGTGCAGAGCTGCCTTGTCTCGCCCTTGCCCCTGTCTGCCCCCCCAGTCCCTGCTGGGGGTGCTTCCTGCCCCTCTGAGGGCCCTTCCAGCCTTTAATGACCCATCTCAGTGTCTCAACGCTGTGGCTCTAGAGTTGAAGCCGTCACCGGTGTCCTGGTCCAGGCTTCTTTCCCTGCAGTACTGGCTTCCTTTGGGCAAATCTAAGAATCAAGGAGAGTGGAGAATTTTCTTCCCCACCCCCTCCGTTGGGAGCTCAGATCCCAGCGCTATACCCACAGGGGTGACCTGGGTAGGTGACTTCTCTTGGGGCCTCAGTTTCCACTTGGTAGAATGCAGAGCCTGACAATCCCTATCCCAAAGTCAAGGGGAGGACCTTGTGCGGAAGGTACAGTGCTGGTGTCCCTCAGGGAAGCCCCTGGACCACAGCCGCCTGGTGTGGGCCCTATGTCACGGTCCAGGAACAAGAACTACCAAAAGCCGTCAGCGCTGCGCTAAGGGCTTTAAGTGAAACCTCCCTTGCAGGAGGAGTGTCTGCTGTCCCCATTTGCAGATGGACAAAGTGAGGCCCCGAGCGGGTCAGGGCCTTGTCCAAGGTCACCAACTTAGGAAGCAGCAGAGCCAGTGTGTGGGGTTAGCCTCTGGTGTGGGGTTCTGGCTCTGTTCACCCCACCCCCACCCTGTGGGTCTTCTTTCTTTCCTCTCCTTTTCATAGCGGCCCTTGGCCCCCAGCCCGCTTGGCTGCCTCCTGCAATTAGCCCCTATCACTGTTCCGGATCACAGCCCTGGGCCCCGTGGAGACAAAGTCCCCTGAGCTCCTCGTGGCAGGGGGTGGAGGGCAGAGGGGGGGGGCCCCCTCGTGGGGGCGGCCAGTGCCAGGCCGAGCTGGTCTGGCCTGTTTTCTCTCCTCCCGGCAGCCTCTGGAGGCCCAGGAGGTGCTGAGTGGGCAGAAGTGGCAGGCCCAGGAGAGAAGTGCTGCCTCCTCCCAGCCCCTGCCATTGTCCCATCCCACAGGAGGTAACCCAGCGTCATCGGGTTCCTGGGCGGCTTATCACCAACCACGTCCCAGAAAAGAAGCTCCCAAGGGCAGCAGGATGGGGGCGGGGCCTCCAAGGACTGCACCCATCTCTGGGAACCTGGGTCCCGGCTCCTCTGCCCAGGGCCACTGTCTGTTCTCAGTCATTCAGCAAACCTCCCTGAGCGCCCCTGGGCTGAGCCCCATACTGGCTTGGTCCCCGCCAGCGCCCTCCCCCAGCGCCATCGGGGGAAGAAAAAGCTCAGGGCTGCTGTGAGTGGCTGAGGGGGGCCCGTGCAGGTGCCCAACTGTGCCCAGAGCCTCAGGACTGAGACCCAGAGGATGAATAGGAGTTTGCTGGAGCAGGGAGAGGGCTTTCCAGGCAGAGGAAATCTATGCAAAGATCTGAGGTGGGGAGAAGATGCGCATGGGAGGGAGGGCAGGAAGGAGGGAGAGCAGCAGCGCAAGTGTGCAGGACCCAGCAGTCAGGGCGACGGGCAGCGTGGTGGGCTGTGGACTTCAGGCCAGCAGTGCCCCTGGAAAGTGGGTGGGTGGTGGAGCCAGGCTATGATCCTGCGGAGGAGCTCGGGCTTATCCTGGCAGCAGTGGGGCTGGGTCTTCAAGGCCAGGGAGGGGCAGCGCGTAATTATTGGTGACCCCCCAGGTGGAGGGCACGAGGGGCTGACCTTGAACCCCACCTGGCCAGAGTGTCCCCTCCTGTCTAAAATGTCTGCTAGCCGGCCATCAGCTCCGTGTCTCCTAAGCAGGGGATTCAAGCAAACTCCAGCTGGTGGGAAATAAGCAGGGAACCAGGCAGCAACTCACATGGGGGAGATTTTAAGTAAGAAAGAAGAAAAAAACTGTTTTCTCTGGCTCCTCCGTGGTCAAAAGAATTGCTAGGGCAATTGTGGGCAGTCACAGGCCCGCCTCCCCCAGTCCAGTCCAGGGGCTGGGCATGGGGTGTGTGTGCACACTTGTGTGTGAGGGTGCACGGCTCTGTATCTGCAGGTTTTGGCCCGAGTGCAAGTTGGACAGTCATTTCTGTGGTTATGTGTCCTGCTAGATTGACCTTGGTCTGATTGCGTGCTGTAGTGTGTGTGTGCATGCACACACTTATGTAGATCTGTGTGTGCACATGGACACGTGTGTCTGGAAGTTGTATATGTGAGCGTGTCTGTGTACTTTCATGTCTGCATGTGTGTGTGCATATTGATGTGTATGCATGTGTGTGAGTCTGTACACTGGCATGGAGTCTTCAGTCGGTGCCAGGGCCCTCCTCCTGTGTCCCATGCTCTGGCCATCCTCTGCCCAGGTTGCTCCCTCCCTCCCTCCTTCCTCCACTCACAGAGCCCCTGGGCTAGCCTGGGGGACATCACACAGGCTCGGGGAGCCCCTGAGTCCCCCTGAACTTGTACCCCACGTTTTATGCATTTTTGGGGGGAGGAGCGACAACTCACATCAGTCTCCAAAGGGGCTTACGTCCCCCCAAACAAGATCCCAGTGGGTTTTAAACCACAGCTCTGGGGACCCAGAGGCTCTAACGGGTGGGGGACCTTTTTTTTTTTTTTAACATCTTTATTGGAGTATAATTGCTTTACAGTAGTGTGTTAGTTTCTGCTTTATAACAAAGTGAATCAGCTATATATATACATATATCCCCATATCTCCTCCGTCTTGCGTGTCTCCCTCCCACCCTCCCTATCCCACCCCTCTAGGTGGTCACAAAGCACGGAGCTGATCTCCCTGTGCTATGCGGCTGCTTCCCACTAGCTGGCTATTTTACATTTGGTAGTGTATATATGGCCATGCCACTCTCTCACTTCGTCCCAGCTTACCTTTCCCACTCCCCGTGTCCTCAAGTCCATTCTCTACGTCTGCGTCTTTATTCCTGTCCTGCCCCTAGGTTCTTCAGAACCATTTTTTGTTTTTTAAATATGGAATGCTTCAGGAATTTGCGTGTCATCCTTGCGCAGGGGCCATGTTAATCTTCTCTGTATCGTTCCAATTTTAGTATATGTGCTGCTGAAGCGACCACTGGGGGGCCTTTTTGAAATGCATCTTTTTAAACTTATAAAATCCCCACTTGCTCATTAGGAGAAACATTTCCAGCCTGTGGTTAAGAGCACAAGCCCTGGGGTTAGAAGAAGCTGAGTTCCAACCGTGACTGTGTCACTCATCGTGGGTGCCCGGGGCACATCCCAGACCCCAGAGCCTCAGTCTTCCCATCTGTAAAGTGGCACTTATAATTAGGTGTGTGGAAGGCCCTGGGCACAGCTCCTGGCATGGTAAACGGAGGCTGCTGTGAGCACAGGGGACTGAGTGGATGGAACTCATCTAGGCATGTGATTTTTCCTCACTTAATACACACATAGGGAATTCCCTGGCGTCCAGCGGTTAGGACTCCGTGCTTTCACTGCCAAGGGCCAGGGTTCAATCCCTGGTTGGGGGACTAAGGTCCCACAAGCCGCATAGCGTGGCCAAATAAAATTTAAAAAAAAAAACACACATAGCTGTATATGTACATACGTTTACAGTCTTTTGGCTTTCTCTGCTTTTCATGTATTAATAGAAATGTCATTCTCTTGGTCCACACATACTTTTTCCCCCTTAAGCAGGCACATGGAGACCTCGGACTCTGTCACAGCACCTGGTTCTCTGTGTCTAGGGGTCCCACTTAGGCTGTTCCAGTTTTGCGCCATTCCTGACAGTGCTGTAACAAGCGCCTGGCACCTCTGCTGTGGGTTCCCTGGCCGAGGGCTCTTTTGAGTTCCTGCCCCATCACTGGGCTGATCAGAGCCACCCTTCTCTGGCTTTCCCACCTCCGTGCAGTCGGCCAGGGTGTTTCCTCCTCCTGGACTGATTTCAGCGTGACACAGAACGGTGAAGGGACTTCTGCAGAGTCCCATAGTGAGTTTGTCAACTGGTCCCCGCCAAAGATTCTCCTTCAGGTGGGCTGGGTGGGGGTGGGGCCGCAGCTGCAGGGCTGGGTTTCCGAGGTGGCAGGCACCTCCGTGATGGCTGGAACATTCCAGGTGCTCACCGGCCCTCAGCTCTGCATGGGGTCACGGGCCTGCGTTCTTTTGCTGGTGCTGGGAAAGGAGTGACCGTTTCAGGTGACCCTTCTCAGCTTGAGCCCCCACCCCACCAGACTTTCCTTTGTGGCCTGGAGCCCAGGGTCAGCAGGTTCCCAGGCTGAGGCCTTCACAGAGCCACAGACCGTGGCTCAGGAGGTGGGGAGGAGACGGGAGCTGACGGGGCCTCTGGGATGGAGGTGGGGGCCAGGCTGAGCCGTCCACATTCCTGGGTTCAAATCCAGATCCGCCATGCACCAGCTCTTTAACATGAACAATTGTCTTCCCCTCCCTGAGCCTCAGTTTACCCCTCTGTTAAATGGGGGGGGGGCGTTTCCTGGTTCTCTGTGGGAAGATGATGTAAATACCTTTAGCGTACAGTAGGTGCTCAGTATGTGCAGTGCAAGGTGATTATTTGTTGGCATTTGAAGAAGTCAGTCCTCCATGCTTGGGATATTGATTGTGCATCCCAGCTGTCACACAGAGGGGACCTGAGGATAAGTGAGACAGAGCTTCTTTCTCACATGCCTCAGGGAGGGAGAGGGCAGATGTGAATCACCAGCTTAATTCAGCATGACAGGGATACAGAGAGCTTAGGATCCCAGGCAGGGAACCATCGCTTCTACTCAGATGGGGGTGGAGGTGGAAGAGGACAAGGGAAGAGGTGACAGCACAGCGGGGCTTTGAAGGTAGGAGGTGTCAGGAAGAGAAATGGGGGAAGGGTGCTGCAGGCATCAGGTCCAGCATGAGCAAAGGCCTGGAGGTGAGGGATCCACAGCAGGAGTGGGAGCAGGAGACTTGGAGGGCTGAGGGTAGGGCTAGGCAAGGGACACCACCGCCAGGTTTCCATTGTCTGACCCTCCCTCTGGGGAGAGAGTGAGGGGAAAGACACTCACTCACTGCCCTTGTCCAGGTGGGAGGTGGGAGGCAGTGGTGGCCTGGAGGGGTCAGGGTTGGAAAGGAGATGCTGAGGAGGAAGAGCCCCAGTCAAGATGCCCTGCTCCCGTCTGGGCCCCTGCAGCTCATTCCCCAAGACCTCTGAGAGCACCCAGCACAGCTGTCCCCTCCAGGGTTCTGGAATTCACTGTTCAGCCACTTCAGCTCAGAGACTCCCACCAGGGCCCAAAGAACTTGGAGAGCTTAGGGGTCTCCCTGCCTGGAGACTCGGGGCTCCCAGAGAGAACATGGGCTGCGCGTGGCACCTGAGCTTCCTCTCTGCTGGTCTGTTTCAGGAACTGGTGCTCATACGTGGTGACCCGCACCATCTCGTGCCACGTGCAGAATGGCACCTACCTGCAGCGCGTGCTGCAGAATTGCCCCTGGCCCATGAGCTGCCCTGGGAACAGGTGAGTGAGACCGTGTGGAGTAGGAGCTGCTGGCGTTCCCACGGTGGGCACGGCCTGGTGGAAGAGCTGGGGCTGGGGCTGGGACCCTGTGCAGGAGATGCCTGGGACCCCAAGGGTGGGCGGACAAAGGGACCATTGTCCATTCCCAGCACCTCCCCTTGGCTCTTGGGCCTTCCTGGGGGAGGGATTCCAGCATTCACCTGCACGCCTTCGCTCAGTGAGCGTTCACCGCTGGGGACAGTCTAGCCCAGCTCGCAGGGGCTTCCTGTCCAGTTGGTTTCTAGATCCCCCCGGCTGGGGGCTGGGGAGGGAATGGAAGGGCTGAGGCCCAGAATGCATGAGGAAAGAGGCTCCAGAGGGACCTGGAGGTGGCAGAGGACCCTGGAGGCTCTGGGCTTGTCCCCATGGATGGTGGGAGGGGTGGCGGAAGGCCCATCTGAACCGGGCCACCTGGGCGCTCTTTCAGCTACAGAACCGTGGTGAGACCCGCATACAAGGTGATGTACAAGACAGTGACAGCCCGCGAGTGGAGGTGCTGCCCTGGGCGCTCGGGGTCGAGCTGCGAGGAAGGTAGGACTGCCCCAGGCGCAGCCCAGGTGCCTCCCCTCAGGTGTGTGGGAGGGAGCTGTAAACCGTAGCTGAGTCGGTAGGTGCTCAAGGGCGCAGCACCACACTTACCAGGGCTGCTGCACAGAGCTGCTGGCCAGACGCAGCTGGGCCACAGTGGGTGTCTGCTCTCCCACGGGTGTTGACCACCTGCCTCTTGGGACACTGTCAGGACCCCTGGAGGAATTTCATACATGCTGGGTAGCTCACGTCTTAGGTCACACATCCCAAGCCTTTCCTCCAAACTTGGGGACATTTCCATGGGAGGTGGTAATGGTGCAGGGAAGCAAAGCACCACTTAGTGCAGTGGGTCAGCAAGGTCGGGATGGCTACACCCAGTCTGCAGGTGAGGAGAACAAGGCTGTGTGATGGGCACACAAGGGCGTGTGATGGGCACACAGCTCCTAAGTGACAGGATTCAAACCCAGGTCTGCCTGGCTTCCCCCAGGCCCTCAGGGATGGGAGGACTCAGCTGGGCACCCTGTGTGCGGAGTGTGTCCCAGGCAGAGGCCCCCCTCTCTCCCCCCACCTCCTCTGCGTGCAGCTTGGTGGTTTGGGGCCAAGCACCCAGCAGGGGCGCAGAGGAGGCAGCCCGCCCCTCCCCTGGCCACACAGCTACTGGCAGTGCCGTCTCCTCGAGGGCGCCTACCTCTGCTGAGGGGTCCAGGCTGCATCCACCCTCACTGCCTGGCTGAACCCAGTGTGCTCCGAAGAATGACCAGAAAGAGGATGGACTGGCCTAGAGCCAGCCTGAGAACCAGGCCCGTAGGCCCCTCAATAGAAAGAGACATTCGGGGCCCCCAAGTAGCACATTAATGTGACTATCGGTCAAAAGATGCATTCTGATTCCAGAAACACCGATGTGTGAAACACAGCCTCCGAATCAAGGGAAGGTGATGCTTATAGCGCCATTCATAGGTGTTTCTTGAGAGATTTACACACTTCACCTCCCTGGGACCCCACAGCAGCCCCAGTTCACAGATGGGGCAACACAGGCCCAGAGAGGTGAAGTCACACGGGGTGGGGGCAGACTCCCCATGGAGTGGGGCAGGGAGGGAGCCTGGTGGTTTCCATGTGGGGTGGGAGAGCCCCCAGCACAGCGGGGGAGGAGCAGGGCGGCCAGAGGGAGGCGGGGAGCTGCTCGAGGTCCAGCAGGGGTCCGGTACAGAGAGGCAGCCCTTTTTACGGATGGAGTAACTGAGGCTCAGAGAGGTGAGGGGGTTGACCTGCGGTCATGCAGTATGTGAGAGCTGGGACTGGGACCACCCTGACCAAGCATCCATGTGTCAGTGCCTCCAGGCCTTGGGGCTGGATGGCAGGGAAGGAGACTGGCTGAGACTCTCACCAAGGCAGATGTGGGAGGCTGGGAGGGGCAGACAGGGAGGGAAGGGAGGGGGCCAGGAACAGCGCCCTCCCCTGCATGCTGGGAGGAAGAGGGGCAGGCAGAAGGGCCCCAGGGGCAGGAAGGGAGCCAGCCAGGAGGGACTGTTGCCAAGGAGGCCACAGAGGAGCTGGTGGTAAGGAGGGGGCGAGTCCCCAGGGTACGGGGGCTCCCTGGGTGCAGAGCACCTGCCCATACATAGGCCACTCTGTCCCTGGCTCCCCTCCCAAGGGCAAACCTTCCCAGGTCTATGGGGCCATCGTGGAGCAGGTGGCGGCAGCGCCCATGCCCTTGAGTGCAGCCGCTGTAGGCTGTGCATCCACGACCAAGCCAAGGGCTGTGGCTCTGCCGCGGGCGTGAGGTGGGGGTGCGAGACGAGGACTGGGGCCGGCCAACCCTGACGTCTCCCTCGGCAGGGCCTTGGGGTTCCAGCCTGGGGACAGGACAGCTCTGCCGCACACCAGCTGTGTGGCCTTGGGCCGGGTACTCCCCGTGCACCGTGCAAGTAGTTGTGCAGGGGTATCGGGCCGGGGGGCGGGGAGGCTGCAGTTCAGGCGGCACTTGTCTCGTGCCCTCTCAGAGGGAGGGGCACCTTCTCTAAAGGGCACCAGGCTGCCTTGTGCTCTTGCAACACCTGGGGCTCTCCTGCCCTGGGCCTCAGCGTGCTCACCTGTGAAATGGGCAGGATCATACAGTCGGCCTCCCAGGGATGTTGCAAGGGTGAAATGAAGCAGGTGGCGCCGCAGCCCATGGAGGGCAGCACGTGGCGTGATGCCCAGTGGGACAGGAAAGGAAGGGCCTCTCAACACCCATGAGGTTGGAGCCGAGTAAAGGGATGCCAAGGCCTGGATATTCTAGAAAACTGCTTTGCTGGGGCCCTGGGAATGGGGACAGGGAAGCATGAGGACATTGCTGACCCACGCCGGGCCCTGCCCTTCCTATGACAGCCAGCTTCAGGCTGGGCTCCCCCAGCTGTTTTCCCTGCTGGTGACTGCCCTCGCAGTCTGTCTGGTGTTGTGACATGACCTGAGGTCAAAGAGCTCCGTCACTAGGGGCAACAGGGCCCAGAGTGAGCTGAAGAGGGAAAGGAAACACCTATCATTCCAGAATCCAGCCTTGGATCAGCTGTGCTCTGCTGTGTGACCTGGGGCAAGTCACTTCACCTCTCTGAACCCCGTCTCTATCTGAAAGTTGCCTCAGATGGAGAAGTGCTTGCCTCACACCTTATTATGAGGACCAGAGACATGCCTCCAACATAGCTACTGAATAAATGTCTTCCTTTCCCCTTTGGCCCCCTGTGCTGGGGAGTCTGCCCTGCCTCCCAGCTCTGAGACCCCATTTCTCAGTCAGCTGCTCAGCAAACAGGCCTCTACTCTCTGGACTGGATGTTTGTGAGGCGAGCAGACTTCATGACTTTTAGTTCTGGTTTTCCCATCTGTACAGTGGGAGTGTTCACTCCGTGATAATGAGTGAGGATGGTTTCTCTGATGTTCTTGACAACCGTGAGGAAGGGACTAGAATGGGTCCCTTTTTACAAATGGAGAAACTGAGGCTCAGAGAGGTGAGGGGGTTGGCCTGGGGTCACTCAGTATGTGAGAGCCGGGACTGGGACCAGCCTGACCAAGCGTCCATCTGCCAGTGCCTCCAGGCCTTGGGGCTGGATGGCAGGGAGGAGACTGGCCCAGGCTCTCACCTGGCTGCCTGCTACCACCAGAAACAATGGGCAAGGAATGGCCAAGGCCAGAATGCATCATGTGGGCTGGTCCTGATCCCCTGAGTGGCCTGGGCTGTTGGGCTCTGCTGAGGGTAGGGCTGTAGTGATCACCCTGCCTCTAGGGGCTCCCCGCAGACCGATCTCTCACCCAACAACCCCATTGTCCAGATGATGAACGTGAGGCTCAGAGAGGGTATAGGTCTCACACAAGGTCACACAGCAAGTAAACATCATGGCTGGGATTCTCCCAAGGGCTCTGACCTGAGGTCTACGATGTCGCCCTGCCTCAGACCCTCCTGCAGTCATAATGATGCAGACTTTATGACTGCCACTGACATAAAGGGGGAGGAAAGCTGCCACTGTCCTCTGTGCTGGGCACCATGATTTGTACTCACCTGCATCGTGCCACCATGTCGTGGTACAGAAGGTCCAACTGTGGAAACTGAGGCTGGGAGAGAGGAGTGCCTTGCTCTGGGTTACAGCTGGATTCAAAGCCCTTCAGTCTGACCAGAGCCGAGGTCTTTCCTCTACAGCAGCGCTGGCCAAGGACTTCGTGGGGCACGTGTTCAGACAGCTGGGACTGACGGAAGCCAGCCTCAGCCCCAGCTCCTCCCAGATAGAAAGATAGAGGAGAGGGGACCCCCTCACCTTCCCCTCCCCATGGGCTCCCCCAGAGCCGGGCTGCCTCCACTTACCCCCTCACTGTCCCCATCTGTCCCTCACACCTGTCGCTTCCCCATCCGTGGACCCCCACAGCCCTTGTCTTCTGTGGTGGGGAACAGCAAGGGAAGAAGTTTGCCCAGGGTCACATAGTAAAAAAGCTTAAAAGCAGACGGAGATTCCAGCCCAGCACTTCCTGGGCCCCTCGGCCTCTCCACCGTCCAGGGCTTGGCCCTTCCCAAACATGGCTCTTGTGCTCTAACCAAATGCCAGGTGCAATGCCACGCCTGTGCCTTACTCTGTGGATTCAGAATCCTGCAGGTTAAATGCTATTGGAATTTGCCCATATCTGCCACCCGTCTACTCCACTCCTGTCTGGGAGGCTTAGTGGCCCCCACCTCCGACTCCCACCAGTGTATTCTCCACCCCCAGCTGGGAGGCTCCCCCTCTGCCCTCCCAGCTGCCCCAGCGAGGTGCCCCAGCTTTGCCCTCCCTCCGTTTTGCCCGGGGCCCACTATGGCCTTCTCTCCCACCCCAGAGCCTGGGCAGTGGCTGTCCTCTCTGCCTGTAACCTTCTTGGCGCTCCCGCCTGGCTCCGAGGATCCCCACCCTTTCACCATTAATCCTGTCTCTCTGGTTCCTGGAACGGGTCTGGCGTTAAGTGGGTGCATGGGAAATGAGTGGGAACCTCATTTTACCCGCAGAGGGACCAGGACAGACACAGACCAGGGCTTCCCAGAGGGCTGCTGGAGAGTTCTTGGAGCTCCCAGCCCCAGCCCTGACCCCAAACCCTGACTCAGGCCAACAGTAGCAAATATTTACATTTGCAAAGTAAATTCCAGGGAAGGGAGCTGGGCAGGGGCAGGGGAGGCTGCGCTCATGTGGTCTGTGGTCACTGGACCCAGCAGACCTGGGGGGAGGGCTATGAAGGAATAAGCCCCTCAGAGAGAAAGTCAGAACTGGAGCCCAGGGACACCGCCAACGTCTCACACCCCTGTTCCCAGCTGAGGGTGGGATTTAAACACCATGCTCTGCTCCCCTCTTCTCCTGCCCTGGTCCTGCTGTGTGGACGGGCAGCCTCTTCTCTCTGGGCCTCAGTGTTCTCATGAGGATCTGTTGAGAAGGAACATGAGACACTGGGCAGAGGGAAGGGCGGCTGCTTAGGGGGGCACAGGACTAGAAACTGCAGATGGCACTGGCCTTGTGGAGGTCAAGATGGAGTGATGAGAGCTTGTTGGTGGGGGGCTTTGGTGGGTTCCCTGGTCTGTGCAGGAAGGCTTTCTGGAGGAGGTGACATGGGGGCAGTGGCTGTGGGGATGAGGAGGCAGTGCGCTCATGTGTGTGTGTGTGTGTGTGTGTGTGTGTGCGCGCGCGCGTGTGTGTGTGTGTGTGTGTGTGTGTGTGTGTAGGGCTGGCTGGGACCTCCCAGATGGTGGGAAGTGGCCCACAGTCAGGGTCCCAGGGTGGAGCCAGGGTTTGTGGTCCTGGGACTAGCGGGGAGCTCCTTGGAGGGCGAGGTTGGGGCTGGGGAGGGGCCCTTCAGGGTGGACCACCAGGCTGGGGTGAGGGGGGCTCTCAGCCCACTGGGGCCCACTCCAGGGGCCCTGGCTCAACACCAGTGGGAGGGATGTGACATTTTTATCCTACAGGAGACCTCCCCCAGCCCTAGACTTTATACGTACTGGAATTTTGTGTGGTATAGGGCCATTTACAACCTGGTTCATCCCTTAAAGTATTTCTGTCTGTTTCTTAGAATTTAGGGAGAGCTTGGGGGGCCATTTTTTGTGAATCTTGAATCCAGAACCAATATTTTCTGGTCTTTTTGACAGTTTTTGTTATTTAAACTTTCTTTTTTTTTTTTTTTTAATTTTAACTCACAATTTCTTTGAGCCAGTTATGTCTGCACTGCTGGTCAGACCGTGCTTTCATTAGTTTTTCTAGTTCTCTCTGGCTCCCAGTGAAATGTCCCAAAGCAAGTGGGTTGAAAAAGAATTTCCAACCATATGTTCACAGATTAAAAACTTGGGGACCCCCTGGCGTGACATTAGAACCCTTATGTTCATTTTCAAGACAGTCATGTCTGCCGTCCACATTATTTTGCCTTTTATTTTGTTTGCTTGCTTTAAATTCATTTTCAGCCAGTGATTCATGCATTCCTCAACAAGAGGTTTAGTGAAGCCCTGAGGCCCTACTGCGCGCTGGGCACTTTCCCCAGCCACTCGCAAGACGGACAAGGTCCCTGCCTGGTGGAGTTCATGTTCCAGCCAAGGAGGGCGGAAGATCAGACCGGGGAACTGGCAAGCAGATAACATGTTAGAGGGTGGAAAGTGCCATGGAAAAAATGGAAGACGATAGCAGGGTGGTGCGGAGGATGGGCAGGGCGGACGCTCTGCCCAACTTCATCCCAGAGAAAACCCAAACTTCCATGGGGTTGGAGGGACGGCCTCTTCTTTTGGTTGACTTCCTGGAAGCAGTCATCCAGTGGCCTTTTACATCTTCACCTGGGAGCAAAGGAGATGCGGAGGGCTTACCGAGGTCGTTCTTCTAAGGAACCAGCATTCTTGACGGGCGCCGGGCCTCCCTGCCTCTGCCAAGGGGAACCTGGGGGACTTGCAGTGCCAGGTGGCCCAGGAGAGAGGAGGACGGGCCCTGGAGTTAGACTAACTGGGTTCCAGTCCAGGCTCCAGCCTTCAGCTGGGTGACCAGTCTCTTTACCTCTCTGCCTTGTTTCCCCCCAAAGGGAAATACTCATATTCACTCATCCATTTATCTGAGCACGGGGTGGGGGGGCAGAGGAGTGATAATACCAAGCTACTCTGTGCCCGTTTCCCCATCTGTAAAGCAGAGGGGTTACTAGCACCCACTCACAGGGCTTCGTGAGGACAGTGAGTTAAGACTGTTTATGAGAAGTGCTTAGAATGTGCCGGGCCCAGCATAAGTGCCGCACAAGCATTGGCTGTTATTATTATTACCTACCTTGTAGGATCGAGCTGGGCTTAGCACCGGGCGTGGCTCATGGTGGCATTATCACCCCCCCACTGCTGTTGTTCTGCCCACAGAGCCCCTAACCCCTGCCCCAGTCTTGGGCTGCCAACCCCCTTCCTCTATCCCAGGTGAGATTTACCCCCTGTGAGAGGGCAAGTCGCAGGCCCCCAGGGAGGGCATGCTGGGGATGCGGGCCCAGCCTGAGCGAAGGCCCCGTGGTGGGACCTGGAGAGGGTCTGGCAGCCACCCTGCTGGGGGTTGGCCAGAGGGACCCGTCTGGTTTGAATTCCCGGCGCCTCTCACTCCCTGCACCAACCCACAGCCTGGCTCTGAGCTGCCAGGCCCGTGCCTTATTTGGGTCTTGTCTCCCCCCAGGCAACACTTTGCGGCCTTAAAAGGCAGGCCCGGGCGGGGGGGGTGGGTGGGGCAGTTGCCACTGGTGGCTTCAGAGCCCCTCCAGCTGCACCCCCCCGCCCCCGCCCCTGGCTTGGCCAGCCCAACCCTCCAGCGATGGAGAGAACCTGGTCCCCAAAGCCAGACCAGCCAGGATGGCCTGCTCCTCATAAGGGTGGCTGCAGGGGTGGCCTCCTGGAACAGGCCCCCCGTGCCCTCCCAGGCAGCCAGCCTCCCTCTGGTTTTCATTTAAAACCAGAGCTGGATCCACTTCAGTGTCTTCTTACCAAGTGGGGCAGGGAGAGGGTGGATGGTGACGTTGCTGTGTTTATTGAGCACCTACTGCATACCAGGCCCTGTGTGTGCTCATTAAGCCCTTTGCATGCATGTCCATCCTCAGGCCTCACGCCAGCCCGGGAGGTGTAGAGACCTTATGATCCCATTTTACAGATGGGAAAATCAGCAGGTCCAGGGAGGACAAGTCACATAGGTCAGCAATTAGCAGGGCTGGGACCTGACCTTGCATCTGTTGACTCTAGGCTGTTAACCCATGCAGCTTGCTGGGATTGTTGGAGAAGCCCCCAGCCTCACCCATGGCCCCCACCCATTGCCAGCCCCCCTCCCCAGCCCCATCAGGTTGATAGCCTTGTCCCAGCTCAGCCCAGTTTATGCTGTGTGACCCAGGCAAACTGCCCCACCTCTCTGGGCCTCTCTCCCTTTGCACTAAGGGGAATAGGGATCCCTCTGTGACTGCAGTGGCAGGTGGGGGGCGGGAGGGGGACAGAACAAAATGTCACAGCCAGCAGGGCTCTGACCCTCACTGTCCCTCAGTTGTAGGCTCCTCTGGCTTCGTGGAGCCCAGGTGGTCGGGCAACACCATGTGGCGGATGGCACTTCGGCCCACAGCCCTGTCAGGTGGGTCCTGGGGCAGCTGCTTGGGGTCCCCCTGGGCTAGGGGAGGCTGGAGGGGCTGGTGGTGACTGTCCTAAAAACCAGCTGGGCCCAGCAGTGGAGGGTCAGGGATAGCACCCTGCGCTTGTCCACTGCAGGCTGGAAAGAAAACTGGAAGGTGGAGGAAAGGCCCCCAAGGGGAGTCTGACCTGGGCCCAGGCACCTGAGACCCAGGACCCCCAGAGTCTTGCAGACATGGGTCCAAGCCCCCACTTTCCTTTTTTTATTGAAACGACACTTTTCTGAGTGTCTGTAGGATGCGGGGCACTGTGCCAGGAGCTTTCCATAATCAACTTGTGTAAACCTCACCCCAGGAAGGCATCATTGTTGCCACTTTAAAGAGGAGGCTGAGGGTCAGAGAGGGGACGTGCCCTGCCGGGGGCCCCGCAGCCAGGAAGGGGCAGCGCTGGGCCTCGACCCAGGGTTTTTGCCTGTTACACACTCACTCCACCCTTGCTCTGAGCTCAGCCTTCCCAGGTGTGAACGGGGTGACACTTGTCCTAACACGCAGGATCATGGTGAGGACTGGAGAGGCGAGCTTGTATCGTGCTCGGTGGCTGCCCGGCACTGTTATGAATAACGTTGGGGTATCAGTGAGGAGGCCAGGGAGCTGGACAGTGGTTCTGGAAGAAGGGTCAGAGCGTGGCACCTAAGGCCATCCCAGTCTGGACTGTAATGTGTCGGTCCCCAAAGCTTCAAGCCGAGGCCAGCCCCGCCCATGTGGGATGCAGTCGTTTTGGATGAGGAGTCAGATCCCTGGTCCTGCTCTGAGAGAAACAGTCCCCTTGGAGGCTCTGGAGCCAAAGGACACCCACAGGGCATGGCTCACCTTGGACAGGCTGTGACTCTTTAGCTCCTTCCCTGTGATGGGCTATCTCATGGGTTAGGGTCATCAGGTATCTGTCCCCTCCCTCCATCCTGCCCCCAGGGGCTGAGGGGCTCCAAGGGGAACCTGGGAGCCCTGGCCCAGCCTGCTTCCTCCCTGCAGGTTGTCTCAACTGCAGCAAAGTGTCGGAGCTGACGGAGAGGCTGAAGGTTCTAGAAGCCAAGGTGGGTGAACAGCTTCCGGGCCAGGCAGGCACCACCCTCCCATTCAGCTTTCTCAGCTTCCCTTCCAGCGCCCACCCCGGGAAGCCTGCGCACAGTCAGGCAGCCTGGCCTGCTCTCCTTCCAGGAGATCCATGAGGTTCTCCTATCGCCATCCCACCCAGAGACTCCTAGACACCCCCCCAGAGCTCATGGCTGGGTCCCCTCATTGCCCCGTCACCTTCATCCTTTATCCCACCCACCCATAATACCATCTTCCCAGTTCCAGAAAGCAAAAACATCTATTGCGTGTCTCAAATTATCTCAAGATAAAAAGTTTTTAACCATTAAAAAGTAAGACATTCTAAATTTAGAAACATGAAAAACTCAGCACCATGAAAAAACCTACCAGAAAACCATTGGCCTCTGTCGCCTGTGCCCCCAGAGAGAGCGATTGCCAACATTTAAGCGTCTTTTCTTCCAGATTTTCTAAACACACATAGATGCATTTACATTAATCTCCATATCCATTCCCTCCTCTGGGAATTTATCTTAGGAAGATTAGTTGCAAAGATGTTCATCCAAGTGTTAATTAAGAGGGAAATTTGAAAACCAAACAACAGAAGGGGTGGTTGTATAATGAGCAAGTGTGGCTCAGTGGAATACTGGACAGCCATTAACAACGCCTCCATTTTCCAACACGAAAAGATGCCCCTGATCTATCAAGTGGAAAAACCAAGCTTCTAAACAGCATGGGTTAAAACCCCCGTTATGAGGTATGAGCACCCTAGGAACCCCACCCTGCTCCCCAAGCTCCCTCCCAGGGGAAGCCGGCATGAGGGGCAGCTCAGCTCAGATCTGGGGGCTGGGTCTCAGTTCCGGGTCAGCTTCTCTCTGGGCACGTCTACACGGCCCCCCACTTCCTGGTCTGCGGACATTCCGGCCTCTCTTAATCCTCAGTAAGTGGCTCAGGGGACACTGCTGACCCTTCAGGCTCTCCCCTCCACTGGGTCCAAAAGTGGTTTTGTACACACCTCGGCACCTCTGTTTCATGCCAGACCCTCCCAAATTTCCCTTCAAATTTAGTAAAAATCCGTGCAGCCTGTGGTGCTTTAACAGACCAAGAGAAGTTTAATATTATGTATGCATCTAAATGTATATAAATATACTTATTAACATGCAGGTAAGCATAGGAAAAAACCGCAGGGCCCAGCAAACACGAGGACAGTCTCAGAACTCAAAGTGGGTGACTGTGATGGTGTGTGATGACTTTTCTACAATGAATGTGATGAATTGTGCATTTTGAAAACCATGGTCACTTCTGATGAAGTTCGGGGCCCCTGTGAGTCCGGGTCTCCACTCCAGGCTGGGTTCTGCCAGCCACGTGGCCTCCTGCCCCCCAACACCAGGGCCCCGAGCTGGCCTGACCCTGGTGAGACCCTGGTACCCACCCCATCCCTATTGTCCTCTTCCTCCATAGGTGGCGGTGCTGACTGTCACTGAGCAGGCAGTGCCCCCGACCCCAGCTGCCCCTGAGGACCCCGCCCCGCTCTGGGGTTCCCCAGCTGCCCAGGGCAGCCCCGGGGATGATGGCCTCCAAGGTGAGTGGGTCAGTGGGGAACACGCTCCCGTGTGGCAATGAGTTGGATCCAGCCCCCTCCCTGCTGCTGACTCCCAGCTTGGCCCCCTTGTGAGCCTCAGTCTTCCTAGTTTTCCCTTGGGCCTGAGGGGATGGTCTCCAGGGGCCCCTGAGCACTGGAGTCCTGGGAGGCCCAGCAGCTGGTGGAGCAGGGGTAGGAACTCTAGACACCACTGACCCCTGCCTACCTCTCCACCCCAGGGCTACCAGGAACCAGAGAAAACGTGAGGGCCCCTCTGCTCCCCCGAGATGGTAGGTGCTAGCGGGGCGGGCAGGGCCGGGGGCAGGCCAAGCGCAAGGCCGGAGCTGCGGAGCTGATGAACTTTCTCCCCCAGATCGAGTTGGTGCCCGGGGGCTTCCTGGGCCCTCTGGCCCCAAGGGAGACCCTGGCAGCCGGGGCCCAATGGGGATGAGAGGCCTGCCAGGTGAGTGCCCACAACACCGGCCCTTCCAGCTCCCCTGGCCAGCCCTGCTCAGGTGAGCCCAGGCTGGGGCCTTCCTTACCAGACCCTGCCCTCCTGGAGCTCCCAGACCATGAAGGCTAGTGGGGGTGGGCCTAGTAGGCAGGGGAGAAATAGCAGTGCCCACCCCATGTGACCAGGGTTCTTATGGGGGACGTTGCAGCTAAGGGAGCCCTAAGGAGGGAAGCCCAGACCCAGCCTGGATGGAGTGGGGGACGGGGAGGGCTTCCCAGTGGGAGCTACACCTTAGGTGAGGCCTCAGAATGACCAGAAGTGCACACCAGGCAGCGCCAAGGGAGGACTGATAGAGGGAGCAGCTCGTGCAAAAGCCTAGAAGAGAGAGGAGAGAACATTCTGGAAATCAGCGTCTGCTAGGCACCTGTTGTGTACCAAGTGTCCACTGTCCTGAAGCCCCAGGGGAGGGATGTGTTCATCCCCCTCATAGACGGCCAGGGAGGGAGTCTGGCCTGTGGCCTCTGGAGCCATCTCGTACCTGCTGCCCCTGGCTGCCTCATCCCTGGGCCACCCTGGGCCTCCCGCCTCTTGCACACCCACCAAACCCCCTGGTTCCATTGCAGGTCCGCAGGGCCCCCCAGGGAGCCCTGGGCAGGCTGGAGCTGTGGGCACCCCTGGAGAGAGGGGACCTCCAGGCCCCCCAGGGCCTCCTGGCCCCCCAGCCCCACTTGGACCACCCTACGCTCGGATCTCCCAGCATGGTGAGTCCCTTGGGGTCACAGCAGGTCCAGGTGGTGATGGGGTGAGGCTGGCATGACCATCTGCCAGGCACCTTCTGTATACCAGGCTTGGCCTTGGGCCATAAGTCACCTGATCCTCCAGTGGGCGCTGTTGTCACTGATGAGGAAAACTGAGGGCCAGAGAGGGGAGATCACACAGCCAGGGCACAGGGGGGCCGGCTTCAGATCCATGAACCCTCCAGAGCCTGTGCTGGGAACCACCAGCATCAGGCCCTCCCACCAAGCCTTGGAGCTGGCCGGGATCCAGCCCTCAGAGCACTGGGAAGCTCAAGGCCTAGCAGCAGGACGTGAGCCCTGAACTCCCAAGGCCACAGCCCTGCCTCTGTGCTCAGAGAGGCCCTGCCCCTTCCGCCCAGCTGGGCCCTGACGCGCATCCTTCACCTTCTCCAAAGCCTGACTTGCACGCGCTGCCAGGGGTCAGCGCTTGGAATGCCAGGTTCAACCGCATCTGCATCATACCTTTGGTGCGTGACCAGGCACCATTCATTCATTCTCCCTCTCCAAGGGACTTCCCTGGCGGTTCAGTGGTTAAGACTCTGCCCTTCCAATGCAGGGGGCACGGGTTCGATCCCTGCTCAGGGAACCAAGATCCCACGTGTGGCGGGGTGTTGCCAAAAAACAACAACAACAAAACATTCTCCATCTCAGAGCCTCAGTTTCCTTATCTGTATGACACCCATGCACAGAAGCTTGGCACAAAGTAAGTGTCAAAAATGGTAACTTTTATTATTATTCCCATTAGGCACGTGACAGTACAGGCTCAGCAGGGTAGACACTTGCTGGATGTCACTGGCTAGACTCTGGCAGTGTCTCCCTGCTTCCTGGTCCTGCATGGCCAACAGTATCCTGACTCCCCACCCTTGGAGTGGGTGCCTGGTGGCCCCAGCCATGCTGCAGGCTGTCCCACAGGGCAGTCAAAGCTGGCTTGGCAGAAGTGACAGGTTAAAACTGACTGCCCGGGCTTCCCTGGTGGTGCAGTGGTTGAGAGTCCGCCTGCGGATGCAGGGGACACAGGTTCGTGCCCTGGTCCGGGAAGATCCCACATGCCGCGGAGCGGCTAGGCCCATGAGACATGGCCGCTGAGCCTGTGCGTCCGGAGTCTGTGCTCCACGGGAGAGGCCGCAGCAGTGAGAGACCCGTACTGGAAACAAACAAACAAAACAAAAAAACTGACTGCCCCACTCTGCCCCGCCCAGCCCAGCCCTGCTCACTCATCTTTCCTCCCCCAGGGGACCCATTTCTGTCCAACACCTTCACTGAGACCAGCAGCTACTGGCCCCAGGGACCGACTGGGCCCCCAGGCCCCCCAGGACCCATGGGTAAGTTGAGTCCAGGTCTAGGGTAAGGGGCAGGGTTGAGGGATGGCAGAGAGACTAGGGCTGGCTATCAGGAGGGAGCTGATGGTGGACTTCCTGGCATTGTACTGTTGAGGGCATCATGTCTTATTCCAGGTCCTCCTGGACCTCCTGGTCCCATGGGCATCCCTGGGAATCCTGGACATATAGTGAGTATTTCTCCAAGTACTCCCACTCTTCTGTCCGTCCATCCACCCACCCCCACCCCCGCACCCAACCCATCCATCCACTCACCTATCCACCCACCCACCCACTCAACCACCCATCCATCCATCATCCATTCATCCATCCTTTCATTCATTCATTCAAGCATTTATGGAGCACTTAATGTGCAAGATACTTTCCGTAAATCTTCTTATTCAGTCCATGTAACAAGAAGCAAATACTGTTATCACCTAAGGCCAAGGAAGGTGGAGATTCTTGCCCTAGGGCTGTGGCCAGCACATGGCAGCTTCCAGATCAATGCAGGGACTGTCTGACTCCAAGGCCATCACTCTGAACACTGAGCTGTATGCACTTCCTGTTGTGTGCTAGGCATTGGGTGTGTGGTGAAGGTCCCAGAAGCCCAGGGCAAGCTGGGGTACCCTTCCCTACCCCTCTGCCCCCTAAGTCCCTGCCCCCTCTACCCTGCCCCAGCACAAGGCTGAGGCCCTGTCTTGTTGCTCAGGGACCCCCAGGCCCCACTGGACCCAAAGGAATCTCCGGCCACCCAGGAGAGAAGGGCGAGAGAGTGAGTATTGAGGTGGCCCTGGGTGGAGGATTCTGGGGAGTCCTGGGCACCCTGGGTCAGACCCTCTGACAGCGCACTCCATTCTTCTCCTCCCTCCTACAGGGACTGCGTGGGGAGCCTGGCCCCCAGGGCTCCATGGGGCAGCAGGTAAGTGATGCTGCCCACCCTGCAGCACCCCCTCCAGGATCCCACAGGCCCAGACCCCTGCTATGGCTCCATCTCCTATGGCCAGAGCCCCTGTCCCTCCCTGTCTGGTCCAGAGCAACCTCCGTCTCCTTTCTCACCCCCCGTCTCAGGGTTCCATAGCCTCTTAGGATCAGGCTGCCTCCATCTCCCTCACTCTCGCTCTGTGTCTCTGTACCTGTTTGTCTTTCTCTAGCTTCCCTCTGCGTCTCCATCTCTCTGACTCTTTGTATTTCTCTCTTTCTCCATCTCTCCAACTATGACTGTAGATTTGTCTATTTCTCGCTCTAGTTTGGTCAGTTTTTGCTCCATGTATTTTGAAGCTTTGTTATTAGGTGCATACACTTTCAAGATTTTAATGACTTCTTGGTCCTTTTATCTGTATGAAATGAATATCTTTCTCTCTGGTAATACTTCTTGTCTTGAATTCTATTTTGTTTGATATTAAAATAGCCACACCAGCTTTCTTATGCTTGGTGTTTGCGTGATATATCTTTTCCAATCCTTTTACTTTCAACTTGTTTGTCTTTCTATTAAAAATGTGTCTTGGGCTTCCCTGGTGGTGCAGTGGTTAAGAATCCGCCTGCCAATGCAGGGGACATGGGTTCGAGCCCTGGTCAGGGAACTGGGATCCTGCATTCTGCGTGGTGCGGCCAAAAAAAGAAAAAAGACATACTTGAGTCTTGCTTTTTTTTTTTAAACAGCCTAACTATTGAGTTCATTTACTTTTTTTTTTTTTTTTTTTGGCCACACTGCCCAGCTTGCAGGATCTTAGCTCCCCAAAAAGGGATTGAACCCACGCCCTCGGCAGTGAAAGCATGGAGTCCTAACCACTGGACCACTGGACCAGGGAATTCCCCATTTACATTTATTTATTTATTTGGTTGCAATGGGTCTTAGTTGCAGCAGGCAGGCTCCTTAGTTGCAGCTTGCAGGCTCCTTAGTTGCAGTTCGTGGTCTCCTTAGTTGTAGCATGTGAACTCTTACTTGCAGCATGCATGTGGGATCTAGTTCCCTGAGCAAGGATCGAACCCGGGCCCCCTGCATTGGGACCATGGGAGTCTTTTTTTTTGTTTTTTGTTTTTTGCGATACACGGGCCTCTCACTGCTGTGGCCTCTCCCGTTGTGGAGCACAGGCTCCGGACGCACAGCCTCCGGACGCACAGGCTCAGCGGCCATGGCGCACGGGCCCAGCTGCTACGCGGCATGTGGGATCTTCCCGGACCGGGGCACGAACCCGTGTCCCCTGCATCGGCAGGCGGACTCTCAACCACTGCGCCACCAGGGAAGCCCAAGGGAACATGGAGTCTTAACTACTGTGCCACCAGGGAAGTCCCTCCATTTACATTTAGTGATGTATATTATTATTGATATGGTTCTGTTTAAGTCAACTATCTGGCTATTTGTGTTCTACTTACCCCAATGTCTCCTTTATTTCTTTTTCTCCCCTTCTTTTCCTGCCTTCTTTTTTTTTATTTTAGATTTTAAAAAAAATTTTATTGGAGTATAGTTGATTACAATGTTGTGTTTCAGGTGTACAGCAAAGTGAATCGGTTATACATATACAAATACCTGCTCTTTTTAAGATTCTTTTCCCATATAGGTCATTACAGAGTATTGAGTAGAGTTCCCTGTGCTATACAGTAGGTCCTTATTAGTTATCTATTTTATATACAGTAGTGTGTATATGTTAATCCCAATCTCCCAATTTATCCCTCCTCCCCCCTTTCCTCCCTGTTAACCATAAGTTTGTTTTCTACATCTGTGACTCTATTTCTGCTTTGTAAATAAGTTCATTTGTACCTTTTTTTTTAGATCCCCTACCTTCTTTTGGATTGAGAATTGTTCTGTGTTGTCTCTACTAATGACTTTTTCACTATACCTCTTTGTGTTACTTTTTTCATGGTTGCTCTAAGGATAACAATATGCATCCTTTTACTTGAATTAGTATTATACCTCTTCATGTATACATAAGAACGTTACAACAGTATAATCCACTCCCTTCTGTCCTTGTGCTATTGCCATCATATATTTTACTTCTGTATTTGTTATAAATCCTCAATACATTGTTGTTATTGCTTTAAACAGTTGACTTTTAAAGAAGTTTAAAAAACAAAGAAAAATAGTCTTTTATATCTCATGATGTATTTATCATTTCTATACTCTTTATACCTTCCTGTAGATCCAGATTTTCATATAGTATCATCTCTCTTGAGCCTAAAGAACATCCTTTAGCTTTTTTTGTGGTGTGGGTCTGCTGGCAACAAATCCTCACTGCTTTTGTTATCTCAAACTGTATTTAACCTTAATTTTTGAAAGATATTTTCACTGGATATAAAATGATAGGTTGGCAGTTTTATCCCCCTTTATTACTTTAAAGATGTTGTTCCGTGGTCCTCTGGCTTATGTAGACAATTACAATTTCTCATGAGAAACTGACTGTCATTCTTATTGTTTTTCCCCTGTACATAATATGTCTCTTTTTCCTTTGGCATTTAAGACTTTCTCTTTACCCTTGGTTTTCATCAGATTGATCATGATGTGGATGGCTGTGATTTTCTTTGTGTTTATCCTGCTTTGGGTTGGCTGAGATTCCCGAATCTGTAAGGTTGCTGGGTTGTGTTTTTCGTTGGTGGTTTTGTTTAATGAATAAAATTCTTTTTTACAGCATTTTTTGAGTTCACAGCAAAATTGAGTAGAAAGTACAGAGAATTCTCATATACTCCGTGTCCCCACACGTGGATAGCCTACCCCACCATCAACATCTCACATCACAGTGGTGCATTTGATACGATTGATGAACCCATATTGTCATGTCATTATACCCCAAAGTCCATAGTTTACATTAGGATTCATTCTTGGTGTTGTACATTCTATGGGTATTAATAGATGTATAATGACATGTATACACCATTGTAGTATCATATAGAATATTTCACTGCCCTAAAAATCCTCTGTGCTCTGCTTATTCATCCCTCTCTCCCTTCTAACCCCTGATCTTTTAACTGTCTCCACATTTTTGCTTTTTCCAGAATGTCATATAGCTGGAATAATACAGTATGTAGCCTTTTCAGATTGGCCTTTTTCACTTAGTAATACACATTTAAGGTTCCAGCGTGTCTCTTCATGGCTTGATAGCCCTTTTTTTTTTTTGAATAATATTCCATTGTATGTACCACAGTTCATTTATCCATTCACCTACTGAAGGACATCTTGGTTGCTTCCACGTTTTGGCAATAGTGAATAAAGCTGCTATAAACATCCAAGTGTAGGTCTTTGTGTGGACATAACTTTTCAATTAATTTGGTTAAATGCCAATGAGTGCAATTGCTGGATCATATGGTAAGAGTATGGTTAGTTTTATAAACTTTTTTGTAAGTTTTTGTAAGAAACTATGGTCACCATACTATATCTTAGATCCTTAGATTAGAACTTAGTCATCTGGGAGTTCACTGGCAGTCTAGTGGTAAGGACTTGGCACTTTCACTGCCATGGGTTCAGTCCCTGGTCGGGGAACTAAGATCCCTCAAGCTGCACGATGCAGCCAAAAGAAAAAGAAAAAGAACTTAGTCATCTTATAACTGAAAGTTTGTACCCTTTTACCAACCTTTCTCCATTCCTTCCCTCCCCACAACCCAGTCCCTGGCAACCACCGTTCTACCGTTCTACTGTTTCTCTGAGTTCAACTTTTCTTTTCTTTTCTTTTTTTTTTTCCGCATTCCACGTATAAGTGATACCACACGGTAGTTGTCTTTCTCTGTCTGGCTTATTTCACTTAGCATAATGCCCTCCAGATTCATCCATGTGGTCACAAATGGCAGGATTTCCTTCTTTTTTAAGGCTGGATAATATTCCTGTGTGTGTGTGTATAACCCACATAGTATTTATCTGTTCATCAATCAATGGACACAGGTTCTTTCCATATCTTGGCTATCATGAATAATGCTGCAATGAACATACCTCTTCAAGACAGTGATTTCCTTTCCTTTGGATAGATAACCAGAAGTGGGATTGCTGGATCATACAGTAGTTCTATGTTTAATTTCTTGAGGAATCTCCATACTGTTTTCCATAATGGCTGTACCAGTTTACATTTCCACCAGCAGTATACAAGTGTTCCCCTTTTTCCACATTCTCACCACCATTTGTTATCTCTCATCTTTTTGATAACAGACATCCTAACAGGTATGAAGTGATAGCTCAGGTTGTGGTTTTGATTTGCATATTCCTGATGACTAGTGATGTTGAGCATCTTTTCACATACCTATTGGCCATTTGTATATCTTCTTTGCAAAAATGTCTATTCAGGTCCTTAGCCCATTTTTTAATTGGCTTATTTGGGGGTTTTGCTATTGAGTTGTATAAGTTCCTTATATATTTTGGATATTAACTCCTTATTGGACATGTGGCTTGCAAATATCTTTTACGATTTCATAGGTCGCCTTTTCATTTTGTTGATGACATTTCCTTTCCTGTGCAAAAGCTTTTTAAATTGGGTTGTTTGTTTTCTTCTTGTTGAAGTTTAAGAGTTCTTTGTATATTTTGCATATACAGAGATACACCTTTGTACACCTTTATCAGATGTATCTTTTGCAAATATTTTCTCCGAGTCTATAACTTGTCTTCTAATTCTCTTGACATTCACTTTTGCAGAGCAGAAGTTTGTAATTTTAATGAAGTCCAGCTTATCAATGATTTCTTTCATGGATTGTGCTTCCGGCGTTGTATCTAAAAAGTCATCATTAAACCCAAGGTCATCAAGGTTTTCTCCTATGTTATCTTCTACGAATTTTATAGTTTTGCATTTTACATTTAGGTCTGTGATATATTTTGAGTTAATTTTTGTGAAGAGTATGAGGTCTGTGTCTAGATTCATGTTTTTGCATTTAGATGTCCAGTTGTTCCAGCATCATTTGTGGAAAAGACTACCTTTGCTCCATTGTATTGCCTTTGCTCCTTTGTCAAAGAAAAGTCAACTACATATATGTGGGTCTATTTCTGGGCTCTCTATTCTGTTCCATTAATCTATTTGACTATTCTTTAGCCAATACCACACTGTCTTGACTAGTGTAGATTTATACTAAGTTCCCTCTAAGCACTGCTTTCACCATCTCCCACAAATTTTGCTAAGTTGCATTTTTATTTTCATGTAGTTCAGAGTATTTTAAAATTTCTCTTGAGATTTGTTCTTTGGTCCACCTGTTATTTAGAAGTCTTTTGTTTAATCTCCAAGTATTGGGGGAGTTTCCAGTTATCCTTTTTTGTGAGGGGGGCTGTGCCTCGCGGCTTGTGGGATCTTAATTCCCCGACCTGGGATCGAACGCATGCCCCCTGCAATGGAAGCTTGGAGTCCTAACCACTGGACCGCCACGGAATTCCCTCCAGTTATCTTTTTGTTAGGGATTTCTAGTTTAATTCCATTGTGGTCTAAGAGCATACATTGTATGATTTTTATTCTTTTTAATTTGTTGAGTTATATTTTATGGGCCAGAATGTGGTCTATCTTGGTGAATGTTCCATGTGAGCTTGAGAAGAATGTGTAATCTGCTGTTGTTGGATAAAGTGGTCTATAGATGTCAATTTTATCTGGTTGATTAATGGCATTGGCGGATTCATATATTTCTCTTTGCAGTTCTATCGGATTTGGCCTCACATATTTTGATGCTCTGTTGTAAAGTGCATACACATTAAGGATTGTTATGCCTTCATGGAATGCTGACCCCTCTATATCCGTGATAACTTTCCTTGCTCTGAAGTGTGCTCTGTCTGAAATTAATATAGCTACTCCCACTTTTGTTAAAAAATTAATTTATTTTATTTATTTTATTTTATTTTTGGTTGCATTTGGGTCTTTGTTGCTCCGTGCAGGCTTTTCTCTAGATGCAGCGAGCGGGAGCTACTATTTGTTGCAGTGCGCAGGCTTCTCATTGCCTTGGCTTCTCTTGTTGCGGAGGATGGGCTCTAGGTGCGTGGGCTTCAGTAGTTGTGGCACGCAGGCTCAGTAGTTGTGGCTCGTAGGCTCTAGAGTGCGGGCTCAGTAGTTGTGGCGCACGGGCTTAGTTGCTCCGCGGCATGTAGGATCTTCCCGGACCAGGGCTCGAACCCATGTCCCCTGCATTGGCAGGCGGATTCTTAACCACTGTGCCACCAGGGAAGTCTGAGGCTCTGTTAATTTTTTTAAAAATCTTTCTTCTCTCTGTGCTTCACTTAGAATTATTGCATTGACCTGTCAAGTTAGTTGATTCTTTCTTCTGTTATGGCACATCTTCAATTAATCCCAGCTAATTAATTTTTTATTTCAAGTATTATCATTTTTATTTCCAGGATTTCCATTTGATTCTCTTTTCATAATTTTCACATCCCTCCTGAAATTCCCCATCTCATCACCCATTGTATCAATTCCACTCGATTCAGTTTTTTATTTTTGGCTGCGTTGGGTCTTAGTTGTGGCAGACGGGATCTTCACTGAGGCACGTGGGAGCTTTTGTTGTGGCACGTGGGCTTTTCACTGCAGTGCACGCGATTCTAGTTGTGGTGTGCGGGTTTTCTCTTCTCTAGTTGTGGCATGCGGGTTTTCTCTTCTCTAGTTGTGGCATGCTGCCTCTGGGGTGCATGGGCTCTGTAGTTTGCGACGTGCAGGCTCTCTAGTTGAGGCGCGTGAGCTCAGCAGTTGTGGCATGCAGGCTTAGTTGCCCCACATCCCCTGCATTGGAAGGTGGCTTCTTTACAACTGGACCACCAGGGAAGTCCCTCCACTATATCCGTTAACATAGTTGTCACAGATACTTTAATCTCCATGTCTGGTAATCCCAGTACCTGGGTTGGCTATGGGTCTGTTTCTACTAACTGATTTTTCTCTTGCATATGGGTCACATTTTTCCATTTCTTCACATGTCTAATAATTTTGTATTGCATCCTGGACAATATAGACAATATAGTGAAGACAGTCTTCCTCTGAAGAGTGTTGAGTTTTGCTCCATGGTGTGGCTCCAACTCAGCTCTGTGACTTTAGCATGGGCATTTCACGGACCATCCAAGGATTAGAGTGGAGTATTTATACAGATTTTGCTCCCCTACTGTGGCTCCCTGCTTTCCAGCATTTCCCCTCCGTTTCCTCCTTCTTTGTCAGTCTTGACCCCGACCTCTGATTCCTCAGGCCAATAAGACTAAAGCTTGCTGCTTGAGCTGTTTGCCAGGCAGAGGGGGTTGGGATGAGCCCTCAGAGGAAAAGCCATAAATATACTGATGTTACCCAGTGCAGTTCCCTTCTTTCTAAGGTCAGATATCCTTCAGTTACTGGCTGCTCTTTATCATTTTCCATTGACTTCAAACAGTTGTTTTTTTGCATTTTTATCTCGCCCAAACGAGCTACTCTCTGTCTCACCCTTGCTCAGCCTCTCTTCCTCTCTCTATCCTCGCCTCTCTCACTGTTCCTACCTCTCTCTCCTTGCAGGGAGAACCTGGCCCCAAAGGAGACCCTGGTGAGAAGAGCCACTGGGTAAGCCACTAGCCCGGCACTGCCCTCCCGCTGCCTCCCCACCCTGGACACTCAGGAGATTATTTGGGGGTGGGGGCACCCCATCAAGATCCTCTTTGCAACCTGGTCTCCAAGTGGGGAGCCTTGCCAGTTCTCAGCCCCAGCGTCCTCCCCTACCCTATCCCTCCCCAGTGGGCAGGGCCAGCCTTATCAGCAGACCCTACATTCTTTGTCTCTGTCTTTATCCCTATCTCTGCCTTCCTTCTACGGCCTTTCCAGGCCAGGGTGACCCTGCCAGTTCCTCCTGGGCAGTTTGGGCTGACCCAGTCCAGACTGCATCCCCTGCCTCCATAGCCCCCTCCCAGCAAGGGCTTTGGCTTCTGCTCCCCTGTCTGCAAAAGAAAGGGAAGCATGAAAACAATATCCACACAGAAGAACGGGACAGGAGGCCTTAGGAGAGCCATGCAGCAGAGGAAGGGAGTTGTAGAAACGCTGAGGTACACAGGAGTGCTTCGGTAAAAGGGACAGGGCACTAGACACCACCATACACATAGGAATCCGTGAATCACAGGAAGGGAGACCTGGAAACCACCATGGACACGTTGTACATGGTAAATGAGGTCAGGGGACCTAGATCCATTGTACCCAAAAGACCTATAATTAACATGAGGTCCCAGACACCATCACATACACAGGAGACCCATGAGGAGTGGGAGGAGAGGCCTAGAAACTGCCATACGCACCAGAAAACCATGGAAAATGAGATGGGGGATCTGGAAACCACTGTACACAAAGGAAGCCCATGAAGGCTGGGAAGGGAGGTCTAGAAACTGTCACATACACAGCAGACATAGAATAAATGGGAAAGGGGACCTAGAAACCACATGTGGGATCCTAGAACCTTCACATCACGAGAGAGACTTGCAGTGAATGAATTTCAGGGCCTAGAAATCACCCACCCAGGAGACATGGGGGGAGGACTAAAAGCCCCACGGTGCAGGGACCTGGAAACCATCACTGATATAGGACACATTTGGAAAACTGGATGGGATGGGGGCAGACAGGAGAGGCAACTGGGGAGTTCTTTTGGAGGCTGGTATTGTGCCTCCCTCCCTCGTCCACCCCTCTCCCTGGTGCAGTCTGGCTGGGACGCCCTACTTCCTGGCAGGCATTAGTTAATGAAGACATGGGAAGCACCCAGCGCCTGCCCTGCCCTCTCTGCTCCTGATTGTGGGGTCAGTGATGGATACAGCCGTGGGAGCCCCCCACCCTGCACGAGCCCTCCCCCATGTCTTTCCATGACTTCTGGGGTCCTGCTATGTCTCGGGCAAGCCTCTCCCAGCCCTCACTGCCACCCCACTCCCTTACCCACCCTCTACCCACTAGTGGCTCCAGAGCCTCTTAAGCATACTGCCTGCTTAGGCATGAGCTGGGCTGGGGGTCAGCTAGACCCATGTGATCCCAGCCCTCTGCCGCCTCTAGGCCCCTTCACTGGCCTCTCCCAGAGACCTTTCATTTGGAAACACATTTTTCACCCCGCCCAGAGGCGGTGGGAGAGGTGGGATGAAGGCTGAATTAGGCTGGGGAGCCCCATCCCTATATGGGGGTCCCAACAGGAGAACAGATGCCTGAACTCTCCCAGAACAGACTTCAAACTCAGGACCACCTGTGGGAGGGGCCCCCACAAGAGGTAGCAGGGCCCCTGCCCATCCACCTGCTTTCCACGTACCCACCTGCACTTCTGCCCCTGCTTGCCGCCTGCCTGGGAGGGGACCCGCTGGGCTGGGGCTGCATGAGGCTTTGGGGGCTGGGGGAACAGCTCTGTTGGGGGCAGGTGGGGATGAGGTCTGTGTGGGGAAGAGGCCTGAGGGCTCCTATACACACTCCACCTACCAACCCCCACTTAGTGAAGCTTTTGAAGCCACTGACCTGGCTGTGGCTCAGCATTGACACCCAGTGGTCATGAGGATGCACTGCAGGCACTGCCTGGGAGTGACGGGGCTCAGCTGGCCCATCTAGACCAAAGCTCATACCCCTTATTCAGACAGGAAAAACTGAGGCCCAACTCCACAGAGTGAATTGTTGGCAGAGCTTGAACTGAAGCCCAGGCTTTTCAGCTCCCAGGACTGGGGGAGCCAGCTAACTTTCCCCAAGCGCCTCCTTGGTGGGTGCCAGGCCCCAGGCTGGGCACTGTGGACATAGATGTGATTTGGACACACTCCCCATCCTCAGGGTGGTCACAGTGGGGTGGGGGGAAACAGACCAGTAACCAGCAGTGACAGGACAGGGGGAGCTCAGCTATGATTGTGGAGGGGTAGATTTAGCATCTTCTTGGATAAGGAGACCCAGGCCGAAGCCTGGCAAAGGGTGTTCACGCAGAGGAGAGGAAACATCACATGCAAAGGCCCTGGAGCAAGAGTGGGCCCAGGGTGTTTGAGGAGCTGCAAATACTTGGAGTGACAGAGTGTGACAGGTAAGGAGTGAGACAGAGGTCATAGAGGCTTTTAGGACTTGAGAGGCCATGCTGAGGAATTAGAACTTTGTTCTATGGGCAGTGGGGAGTCATTGAAATATTTATAAGTAGGGAAGTGACATGGTCAGATTTTTGTTTGCAAAAGATCCCTCTGATTGCCATGTGGAGAACGGATGGGAGAAGGGAGAAGGGAGCAGAGAAGGGAGAAGGGAGCAGAAAGAAGGGAGCAGAACTAGACAGGAGGCTGTCCTGGTCACCCTGGCAAGAGGCTGTGGCGGCCGGAACTGGAAGGGGGACAGTGAAGAGGGACAGATGTCAATGGAGCTGAGAGACACTTGGGTGCTCGTCTGGCTATGGAGGGGGGAGCGAGAAGTTAAGGGAGATGTTTACAATAATAAAAGAGAGAAGAGAGCCAGGAGAAGCTGGCCTGCTGAGTTTTCTCCATGGAGAACGGGGAATGTCTACATGACAGCTGAGTGGGGGTGTCCAACAGGCCCTGGACACTAAGGCCAGGATTGGAGGGCACTGGGACGTCACTGGTGCAAGCAGCAGGCCACCCACCCAGAATATTTTTTTGGCATTTTCCCCCATATTTTTACTTTGAAAATTTTCAAATATGTAGAAAATTTGCTACAATGACTATCCTTGTACCCTTCTTCTAGACTGACCAGTTATTAGTATTTTGCTGCCTTTGTTCTTTCGCTCTTTATATATCTATAGATCTTTTTTTTCTAATCCATTTGAAAGTAAGTTGCAGACCTCATCCACATCTCCCCTAACACATCAGCATGTGTCTTGAAAGAATATGGACATTCTCCCAAAGAGCCACAGTAACACTGTCACACCTGAGAAAGCTGACATTAATTCAGTGAAATGATGCCACTTAATATACAGCTTATATATAAATTTTACCCATTGTCCCCAAAATGCCTTTTGTAGCTAGTTTAAAAAAAAAACAAGATCAATCAAGATTCATGTGTTGAATTTGGTTGTCACGTCTCTAGGTTCTTTTTTTTTTGCGGCACGCGGGCCTCTCACTGTGTGGCCTCTCCCGTTGCGGAGCACAGGCTCCGGACGCACAGGCTCAGCGGCCATGGCTCACGGGCCCAGCCTCTCCGCGGCATGTGGGATCTTCCCGGACTGGGGTACAAACCCGTGTCCCCTGCATTGGCAGGCGGACTCTCAACCACTGCACCACCAGGGAAGCCCTCTAGGTTCTTTTCATGTAAAATAGGCCCCCTGCCCTTTTCTTCTTTCTCTTGACTTTGTCATTTTGTGACTATCCCACTGTCTAGATTTGTCTGACTATTCCCTCGTGATGAGATGCAGGTTAAATACCCTTGGTAGGTGCACTAACTGGGGATGTGGTGCCCTCTTATTGCATCTCATCAGGAGGCTTATGACATTAGCTTGTCCCATTGTCGATGCTGGCAGTTGCTTAATGTAATTTTTGAAGGTCATCCATGTTTAGATGGGTGTAATACTTGAAGAGAGATTACTTTAGTGTGACCCGGTGACCCCCAGGCCCAATGGCCAGTCAGTGGCCCCATCCATGTGATGTGGACAGGACAGCCAGATCATAAGGGACAGTCTCAGCATGGCCACAGTGGGCTCGCTCAGAACAGACATGTTGGGAGGACTCTTGATTGTTAGATGTTTTTGTGGGAACAGCTTCCTTGAAGGTAGTAATTGTACCAAGATGCATATTATACCTCATCCCTTCATTTAATCTGTACTAAGTGAAGCACTCTGAGAGACTCCCAGATGTGTCAGGGCGGGAATAGTTCTATTGCTATCCTGGTGCTCTGTCAGAATTAAGGTATCTACATTCCAGAAATAGCTTTAGTCTGGACTCGGAAAGAGGAAGGAGTGAGGGAGTGTGGAGTTTTGGCAAGACCGCGGACCCTATGCTGGGGGAGGAAAGGACAGACAGACAGACACTGGGAAGAAGTGAAGGTGAGGGCCAGCTGGCGGTCCCTGGCCAGCACCGGCACCACTTGAGACAGGAGACCCCAGAGCAGGGAGGCCTAGGGGAGGGGTCTGAGGGCCGCTGCCGCATCCCCGGGCCTGGGTGCTGGAGACTCAGCTGAGAAGAGAGGGTGGGGCTGAGGGCTGGGCTCCGGGATGTGCAGCACATGGACCTGGAGTAGTCAGAGCCCAGGGAGGGATGGGCTCAAAAGGGCTGGGGCAGGGGCACCTGGGCCTGAACTTCAGCTTTGCCGGCATTTTAAGCCTGGCTTCCCAACAGCGATGCCACACAAACATTTTCTGATTTTACTCTTACATGTTCATTTGGACATGAGTGGGAAGGATATCGGTAAGTAGCCTGATCCCACCAATGGAGTTAATTAGGGTGAGACAAATACAGTATTTAAGGCAAAATTGAGTCAGTTTAAAGACTGTTAAGTAAAGAAGAGTACAAGTGGCCCAGGGATGTGGCAGGAATCATGCAGATGATGTGAGACCAACTGGTTTCAGGCAACAGAGATGGAGGAGGGGCCGGGGCTCTGCGGCAGCGTCTGGGCAGGTTCTGTGGCAGGCTCTGGGACAGCAGTGCTGCCCCTGCAGACTGGCCTCCGCCCGCCCTCAGTGCAGCAGGATTTGCAGGGGTGTGAGGAAAGAGCAGCCAGCTGGGTGGGATCCTACTGAGGAGGTTGCTTCTGCCTGCCTTGGCCCCCTCCCATCCTCTCCTGGTCTTGTCCCTGCTGTCCGTGGGCCCTGGGCTGTGGCAGGTGGTGTGGAGCTGCAGATGCATGTCCAGGGTGGGGCATGGGCCTCCAACAAGCTTTGCAGGGCCCCCTCCCCTGCCCCCTTCACGGCTGCATCTGTCTCTTTCCTCCACAGGGGGAGGGGTTGCACCAACTACGCGAGGCTTTGAAGATTTTAGCTGAGAGGGTTTTAATCTTGGAAACAATGATTGGGCTCTATGGTGAGTAGAGACAGACAGACGGACAGACAGCCCAGCCCCCGCCTGCCAGGCTTCCCCAGGCCCTCCAGGGTGGAGCTGCCTGGGTCCAGTCAAGAGGCTGGATAAGGTACCTGCCCTTCTCCAGGTGGAGACCTGAAAGGTCAAGACCACCCATCTCTCAATGACTGGTCCCTTGTCCATGGGTGAAGGGGGGGGCCCTAGAAACCCAGGCCCCCACCCCTGTGGTAAGACCTGGGGCTCCAGACATTGTGGGTAATGTGGTTTTCAGGCCTGCAGGGGAACCAGAGGTGACAGATTTCAAGTCTGAAAGGAATTATGGGCAATGGAGCCAAACTCCAGAACTGCAGGGGACTGTGGGTAACAGAGCCAGACTGTAACAGTGCAGGGGGTTGTGGGTAATAACGTCAGAGCCCAGGCCCCCAGGAGGATTATGGGTAATGAATCCAGACCCCAGTCAGGCCTCAGCTCAAGAGAAATTGTGGGGAACAGAGCCAGTCTGCAGGCCCACAGGACAACAGGTCATGGGGCTAGACTCCAGAAGTGCAGGGGACTGTGGGTGACAGAGCCAGGCTCAGGTCCCAGGGGACTCTGGGTAATGTACCACCCACCAGTTCTGACCCCAGAGGCTCTCACTGGGCAGGCCATCCTGGCCCCAGGGTCCCCCTTTAGTGTCCTGAGAGACCCTCCCCCAGGCATTCACCCACCAGTTCTCCACCCATCTGGTCACTTGAGGAGACAAGTGAGCCCCATCCCCACTTAGAAGGAGCAGCCAAGGTCCCAACAGAGACTCACGCCCAGGCTCCTGCCCGGAAGCCAGAAGGAACTGGCCCCGCCCCCCACCCTCGGTGACCAGCCCAGCCCCTGGAGGCCGGACACGCACCGTCTGCTCTTCTCGATCTCCCATCAGGCTCCTAGCTTACAGAGCTTCCTGCAGCAGCAGGCTCAGCTGGAGCTCCTGGCCAGACGGGTCACCCTGCTGGAAGCCATCATCTGGCCAGGTAACGGCAGGGTGGGCAGGCAGGGGCAGCCCCTGCCAGGAAGGGCCTGGGAAGGGCCTGGGGACACAGAAGGCACCTCCCAATACTGGATCCAGACTAGCAGACAGCCACTCTTCAGCCCTTCCATCCAGCCAGCAGACGGTGTCTGGCACAGAGGAGGTTCTGGTAACTAGTTCTTGAGTGAATGAGCACCTGCTCTGTGCCAGGTACCTTGCTGACACAGGCTCCAACAGATAAGACAGACAGGGTCCTGCTCTCATGGAGCTTAGGGTGCTGGGGGGAAGCCCTGGAACTGGGCGTTAAACCTAGGGTGAGGAATACCACAGTGGAGTGAATACAGGTGGCCACCAAAGCCCACAAGTGCTCCTGATGCAGGCTGGGGGGGTGGTAGAGGGCATCTCAGGAGGGCTTCCTGGAGGAGGAGGCATCTAAGTGGAGACCTGAAAGGCAAGGATTGGGGGCAAGTGAACAGGCAGAGGAACAGCATGGACAAAAGCCAGGAGACCAGAGAGAACCTAGAGGGACAGTTCCGTGAGGTTGCTGAGGGTGAGAACAGAGGCTAGAAGATCTGGTAGGGCCCCATTTGAGAAGGTCCTCGAAGGTAGGTCAGGGAGGCATGGAAGGAGGTTAGACACCACCTGGCTGTCACAGTGGGCCTAAGGAGGTCTCTCCACGTTAAACTGGAGCCTGTGGCTGGCCCTGGAGAGAGTCAGGGATCGGCCACCCCGTTCCTCACCTACCCGTGAAGAGGCCCCAGCCCTTCCCCCAGCTGCCCCATCTCTCAGCCCAGTCCTAGCGCATCAGTGCACACAGCCTCAGACATAATGTCCAACCTCCCATCTATTTTACAGATGGGGAAATTGAGGCCCCCAGCAGGAAGGAGAGCCAAGGTTAGAGCCAAGCCTCCTTCATTTGGCAAAACTGTAGGGCACACCTACTGCAGGCTGGGTCTGAGGCAGATCTCAGGGTACCCACCTTGGGGAGCTGCCCATTGGGTGGTGGGCAATCCTCAGCATCTATAGAGGTGAGGGCCATGGGGTACAGGAGCACCAAAGGATGTGTGTGAGGAGAAGCCTTCCTGGAAGATGGGACCCTTGCGTTAGTCATAGAAGGTCCCTACGAGTGTGCCAGTAGGAAGTGGTGGGAGGGCAGCCCCCATGGGGACAAAGGCCTAGAAGTGGGAAGGTGTGTGGGTTCTGCTTCCAAAGCTGCTCTAGCCATGCCACAGGGCTTCCCCAACTTGTGAAAACTCAGACCATCTCCCAGACCTCCTCCCCTCTCCCAGAGGAAGGACCAAGGACCAAATCCCAGGTGCTCAGCTCCTTGTCAGGTGTCCCCCGACTCCCCTCTCAGGAGGATTGGGAGGGGAGCCAGAAGGGACACACTGTGGCCTTGGATCTGTGCTCCGCCCCCCTCAGCTGGCTCTGTCTCCAGCAGCCCAGGGAGGAAGTGCCAGGCACCTGGCAGTGTGGCCAGGAGGAGGGGAGTAGAGGAGATGGAGCCTTCCCCATTGGCCCATCATACACAGCAGGTGCTAACAAAAGACCCAGATGGGGCTCATGTTTAGATTATAATCAATAATGATGATAATAGTAACAGCTGTCACACATCCAGTCCACCTGGGCCGGGAAATTTACATCCATCATCTCCAGTCCTTGCAACAAGCTTTCTAGGTGGGCGACACTGTGCCCACTTCACAGATGAAGAAACACAGGTTCAGAGGGCTCGTGTGACTCCCCCGGGACATAGGGATAGTAGTGGTGAGGCCAGGGGTCCGCCCTAGGTCAGGTCTCTGAAGCGCCAGCTCTTTGGGCTCCATCGGCAAAGGTTCCCTGACCCCTCTGCTTTGCTAGGCACTGAGTGGGGCCCGGGGGAAACCAAAGCCCTGAATTTGATCATGTCAGAACAGCATCTCATGACTGATTCACAGTGACCAGACCTGCAGGAGCCCTGGGTCGAAAACACACCAACCTAGTGACCATAATAATCCAACATTTACTGTGAAAACCACTTTCCACTCTTGGTCACATTGAACACTCTGCAAGGGTGTGACAACAGGAGTGTCATCCCACATTCCAGATGAGGCTTAAAGGTTCTGGGACTTGCCCAAGGCCACATAACTGGGACATGATAGGGCCAGGACTTGGCCTGAGCTGATGTTGGAACCTGAGCTTTGAGCTACCCTCCTCCTATGCTCCCTGTTTTAGGGCATGAAATGTTCCTTGGCTGTGATTGCAGATACCTGTCTGCCCCAAGGGCGCCAAATCTCAGCCCAGAGGTGCATGAGACACAGTGTCAGAGTGCTAGACAGTTATGAGTATGAGGGTATAGCTCCCTCCCTGGCATTGCCTTCACTGGGAAGCTGGTGCTCACCAGAGTCAAAGTGTCTCTCCTGTGAACAGTGTTTCGAAGGCTCAGCCAAGTCCTCCATCCTGGGGCCCTCCCCCTGGAAAAACAGCCCATCCTTCCGAGCTGCCTAACCCCTCATTTAACGTTGAGAGGGACTGAGGTGATAGTTACATAAGGCTTCCTGGAAGAGGTAGGTCCTGATCTGCATTTTAAAGGTTGAGTAGTTTTCCAGGTGGGAAGAATGCCAATTATCCGGTTTTACTCTTGGGGGCCAGCTTATTTGCAGGTTGGGGCATATCTCACCATAGCTAAATCGAAACTAACTTCAGTAATTACTGGAGTTGGCCAGGGCCTCTGTATCTGGAACTGTCCCCCTGGTTTTAGAGATGAGACAGCTGAGGCCCTGACAGAGGTCCAAAGCCACACGGTAGGTCAGTGGCAGAGCCTGGCCTTCCTAAACCCTTCCCCACTACAGGTGGTCTAACCTGAAAAGAGAGGAAGAGTGAGGCTGATGCCTGGCCTTAGTTTACCCAGCTCTGAAAAGGGAATGATTCAGGGCACACCTCTGCTCCAAGATATGTTAACGAAGAAAAGAGCTATACTGTTTATGGAGCATCTGCTACATGCTAAGCATTTCAGAAACATGGTGGGTTCATTGATCCCCACTTGACAGAGAAAATCAAATAGAGGCCCTGAGTGTTCTAGTTGGGTTAGGGGCTAATAACTCCTGCGGGGAGGGGCACTAACCAGCTTTGCAGACCCCCTTCTTTCCCACACCTCTGCCTCTTAGACTTGGGCAGAGCCCCACCCCCCACCCCCTCAGAGGGCCAAGGGAAGGTGGGCACCTCACACAGACATCACTAACCCGGCCTCTTTCCTTCCCTCCCGCAGAACCAGAGGGGTCAGGGGCAGACCCTGCCGGCACGGGCACCCCCAGCCTCTTGCGGGGCAAGAGGGGAGGACACGCCACCAGCTACCGGATCGTGGCCCCCAGGAGCCGAAACGAGAGAGACTGAGTGTGGTGGTGGCCCCTTGGTGAGGGCCAGGCCAGGCTTCCCTTCCCAGCCTGGACTTGGCCAGCTGCCTCCAAGGTCCGCCATCCGTATTTATTAATATCCTCAGGGTCCCTTCTGCCACCTAGGCCTTTGGGGTGGGCATGTCTTGGTCCTGGCAGCCCATGCGCATCTGCCTCCTATGAGGCTGAGCCGGGACTGGAGCCTGAGAGGGAGGTGTGGTCCAGGCAAGAGGTGAGGCTTTGCTCAGGGCCGTGGGCCTCAGTTTCCCTCTGTGAAATGGGGTGATGCAGGCCTGTGGGGAGGGGCGGCAGGTTTGGAGCTTCTGTCTTCTCATCAACCGCCTGGCCATCCAGGCCCCAAGCAACTGAGGGATTTGGAAGCTGGGGCTCTGCCCGGCCCTCAGCACACCCAGGGATGATGAGAGCGGGCAGTCTCACCTCCCCACTCCCCAGCCAAACCTGGGGGGCCCACCTGTACCCCTCGTCTCCTTGTTTTCTGGTGCTGGGTTCCTGACCCTGAGGTCAAGCTACCTGATCTGACTGGACATTCAGGGCTCCTTGTCTCAGTTCTGACCCCTGAACCCTCAGTCCTTCTCATGTCCCAGGCGGAGGGGGCATGGAGAGGGAGGGGCCACCTGCTCCCACAACGGCTTGTGACAGACACCAGGAGGTAGATGTGTATTGGCCAATAAAGGCCCCCAGCTTCACTGCCCACCGGCCTGGTCTCAGTGTGTGCTTAGATGAGGGGCAGCCGGGCAGGGCCAGCAGCCTTTCTTCTCAGTGGCCTTCACTATCCACCTGCAAAGCACAACTGTGAGGCCAGGGCTCCCCTGGCCATCACCTGGGCAGCTGGGGAATGGGGGTAGGTGAGCAGAACAGAGGCTCAGGCCATCCCCACCCCCTGGCCAGGTGTCCAGCAGGAGCTACCAGACCTCAGGGCAGCTTCCCTTCTCTGAGCCTGTTTCCTCACCTGTAAAATGAGGCTGATGGTATAGTCCTCAGGTTTCCCAGTCTGTTTCTGGCCCCTGGCTGGTGACCAATGGCAGGGTCGGTCTCTGTGGCCCCTCCACTCTGGCCCTGGCCTGGGGTACAGCCTCACGGGTGACCAGAGCACAGGCCAATCCGGGGCCTACAGCCCCCTGTACTGCCCCTCAAAGTCCAGCTTCCCGGCCCCTCTGCCTTGCAGAGTTCCCATCGGTGACTCACACCCATGCCCCACCCTCTGTCCTCTAGGCTTTGGCTACACCTCCCCTCCCTGGGAGGGGGCAAGGACTGAGAGGGGCCAGGAGGGAGGAGCTGCTTCTACAAAGCTGAGGAAGCTTCTCCCCCACAGCACGCCCACATTGCTTCCTGCCCCCCCCCCCCCCCCCCCCCCCCCCACCGCAGGGCCCAGCCACCAGCCTCAGAGCCTGCCCTGGGGCTCTGGCCCTTGTCGCACTGAACTGGCCCTTGTCCAGCAGGGACACAGGGGGCTGTGGGCAGTGAAGGGATGCTGTTCCTGGCGAATCAGGGAAGGCTTCCTGGAGGAAGGTCTCCGTGTAGGCCAAGACCTGAGGATGGGTAGAAATTAGCTGGGAAACAGATGATAAATGCTCCTTGGCAGAGGGTCCAGCCCAACAAAGACCCTGAGGCGGAAGCTCAGTAACACTGTGTCTCTGGACATCAGGGAGCTGCTCTCCTGCAGTCGGCTGTTCATTCACTGCTCGTTCATTCTTTCATTCATTCATTCATCCCCCTGATGCTAATGTAGAAGAGTCAGACACAACTGCTGCCTCCAAGGAGGTCCAGGTTGAAAAGTGAACTGGTTTTTATTCTAAACAGTACCAGGGCAGGATGCTGGGGGGCCTCCTCTGAACCCACCCTGACTCTCAGCAGACAGGGCTGGGCTCTGACTTCCCACCCACAGGCCAGGCTTCTCACCTGAGAGCCTGCCTGTGCTAGGGGGGCCCAGGACCCTCAGGGTGGGTGGGCCCACCCCTCCCCTGAGTCACCAGCGCCTCGGTGCCCACATCCCCGCCGACCAGCAGTGACACGGCACCCTCCACACGGCTTGTGGCTGCCAGGGCCACCACCGCCTGCTCCGTGGGGAAGCCCATGCGCTCCAGTTGCTGCAGGCTGTGGGAAGGGGGGACAGGGAGGGAGTGTCAGGGCCGCTTCCAGCCCCCACACCAGGGGACCCCACCCCTACTTACCCCACCTTACCGCAGGGAGGAGACAGAGGACTTAGACAGCCGGAGTGGGCTTTCGGGACCCTGGACTGGCCCCTCAAGGAGTGAGGCCTGGATCCCCTTCTGCAGCATCTGCTCGTCTAGGGCTGCCCACAGCGGGGTCCCTGGGGGGAAGCTGGGCCCAGACCAGGCCAGTCCCACCTCTGAGGAGCCCTCCCAGAGCGGCTGCATAGGCCCCAGGCCTGGCGGGAGCGGGGCTGAGCCTTCTCTGAGGGGCCAGAGGCTAGGGGAGGCCATGTAAGGCGGTCCAAGGGTGGGCGGCCTGGAGGGGCAGAAGCAGAAGGCCTGACTGCCAGCCACCGGCATGGCTTCCACCACCGGGGCCAGTGTCCTCGGCATCACCCTCACCTCACTCCGGCAGGATGGGTGACAGGCAGCTCAGCCAGGCCACCTGGGGTGGGAAGGAGCTGGAGCGGCCAGCACCCCGCCAGGGCCCTGCACAGGACACCCTCCTGCAGTGCCTGCAGCCGCTGCTCAGAGATCTCCAGCCACCGGAAGGCCCCAGCCGCGTCTGTCTGCCCAGGGCAGGGCGGCGGGTCAAGGAAAACCACATTCAGCCAGGGGTGAGCCTGCGCCACATGCCAGGCCCCGTGCCAAGTGTGTGATGGGAATTCCCTCCTGTCTCCTCACTGTGGCCCTGCCAGGGAGGTGTCATCACCCTCGTCAGCAGTGGAGGCTCAGAGAGGGAAAAGGGCCCCTGCCTGAAGCTACCCAGCCAATGAGAGGCAGAGCCAGATGTGCCTCATCCCAAAACCTGTCTCATCCCCATTCAGCTGCCCCCTGCCCGCTGTCCCCTGAGGCCTGTTGCTGGCCTGCTCAGGCCTGTGACCCCAGGCCCACCCCTGGGCCCTGCCCCAGCCAGGGCGACATGCTCCCCTCTCCAGGATTCAGCCGGGTGTCCCCAATCCTAAACGACTCCAGGGTCAGCCTGTACCCACTGTTCCCTCTGACTGCACTGTTGTCCCCGACAGGCATTAAGCATCTTTGGAGCAAAAGCCTGTTTAACACACCTGCACCACCGGCCGCAGGTCATTCCCCCTTTTGGTGCCAGGAGAGCCGCAGGCTCACGCTCACCCTGGTCCTTAACACCCTCTGTACTGTCTGCCAGGCCCGTGCTCTCCTTTTCCACTTCTCGTCACCTGAACCCCTCCTTCTGCATGGTCTCGGCGTAGACCCACCTCCACTGGGACGTCCAGATTAAGTGCCTCCTTGGGCCCCTCAGCTCCCAGGCTCTCCTTTAAATTGTAATTGGTACCTCTACATGGCCACAAGCCCCCAGTTCCCAGCCCAGAGCCAGGCGAGAGGAGGACTTGGAGACGCTCCTGGGATGTGTGTGAATGTGGGGGCCCGACCTCTTGTGCCAATTCCTTCCCAGGCACCCTGGGGGCCCAGCCACAGAACCCACACGTCCACATGAGCCCTGGGCCCAGGCAAAGGATACAGGCCAGGCCAGCCAGGAGGCCACAGAAGAGCTGCAGGAAGGGCGGCTCGGAGCTGAGCAGTGGTGTCAGGGCGAGCAGCAGCCACGGCAGGAGCCATGGTGGCAGTGCCCCACGGGGCCGTCTAGGGTTGTAACCCTGCCCCGCCAGCATGGCCAGGTGGACAGGCATGTATCCACAGCCCCCGGCTGCACTGGACACCCCGAGGCCTGCCAACAGCACAGCCATCAGCCCGGAGGCCAGGGCAAGGAGGGTGGAGGCATGCAGGAACCGCAGTGTGCCCAGGTGGCACTCCTGCCGCCAGCCCAGCGTGGGCAGGAGCAGCAGGCTCAGCAGCAGCCCTGGGAGGGCCTTGTGGCCCAGGGCATGTGTCAGCAGCCGGTGCGCTGGGAGAGAGAATGGGCTTATGTGCCAGGTTAGTGGCCCTAACCCCCAAGGCTGGCCCCGGTGTGCCAGATGGGGAAACACCCTCCGCCAGGGCCGCCCACTAAGCCAGCACCCCCTCCCCGGGAGCCAAAGTCTGCCCACTGCCAGTAGTTTAATCACTGGTGGTGGGGACCAAGGGCTTCCAAACACTGTAACCGGCCCCCTGCTGCTTTAAGTAGAACAAGCCAGACCCAACACTCGGTCTTCTTAAGAACAACCAACCATGGATAAGTCACTTCACTTCTGTGAGCATCATTTGGGTTCCTCAAATGTAAATGGAAGCTGTCATTCTTGGGAAACAGGTGTTCAGCTGGGGTCACTCTTCAAACCCCTAGTGCCTCCTTCCTGTTCTTGGGCTTAGCTGAAAGTCTTAGTTTATTTTAAGGGAAAGCCACCCGAAAGGGGAGCCGTCTGAAAAGAATTCCTACTCACAGGCTCCCACCCCTGTGCTGGCCCCTCTGCCCAGGTCCTCGGCCCTCCCTTCTTGGCTGTAGTTGAGCTGGGCATGCTCCCGTCCAAGGCTGACCTTCCCCGGGGCCCTGGGTCCTGTCCTTGCCTGACAACTGCAGGATGCATGCTGCTCCTGCCAACTGGTCTCAGGCCCTACAGCAAGTCTCCTGCCTCCTCCAAGGCCCATGTGGCCGGCCCTCACCCTGCCAAGGGTCCAGCAGCAGCTCTGGGGCCAGGACAAGGCTGGGGCCAGCTCCCAGCAGCCACAGGCCGCTCATGAGCAGCATCAGGACAGAGGAGGCGAGAGGCAGCGCCGGGGTCAGTAGGCCAGGGGGACCTCTGGCATGCATAGCTTGTCTGAAGGTGATCAAAGGTGGTCTTGGGGCTGTGTGCTAGGGGTAAAGGAAAAACAATAACAAGTTATTATTGCAGCTTTTATCTGACTTCCTTTCGGCTACCATACCAACAGTACCATTTTACAGAAATAAAAACTGAGGCTGGAGAGGCGGGTGCAGCAACTTGGCCATAGAGGACCTCAGAGCCTAACCATGTGTTTAGCCATCTTGCCATCCCACTGATGTGTGAGGATGGGAAGAGGCCAGGCCAAAAGCTCCCTGAGCCCTGATGGGCCCTGGAAAGGGGCCTGGAGTGGGAAGCACAGGGAATGGGAAGTTGAACGGGAGCCCTGGACTCCCAAAATTTTTTGGATTTGTGCAGCCCCCCAGGGCAAATTCAGAGCCATCTCCAGCTTTCCTCTGCCTCCCTCTTCCCTCAGGCTACAGACCAGCTACCTTCCTCCCTCCCTTCTCCCCTCCACTGACTTAGAGCTCCAGGTGGCCTGAGCTGCCCTTGACAGAGGGGGTAAGGCCAGCCAAAGGGCAGACAGATTAGGGAGGGGGTGGAGCAGAAGGGTTGGAGGAGAGGCAACAGGAGTCTCACACCCTGAGTGCACACAGTGACACTGGACAGAGACGTCCTCTTCCTCAAGCCCCAACCACAGCCCCTCTGACCCTACCCTCCCTTTCACAGAAAGGTTTCAGTATCCACTCCACTTCTTCCTGCTGTTATCTCTCCCTGGGCAAATCTGGAGCCTCTCCTTCCTCATCTGTAAATTGGGGATTAAGAAAATCCATTCCTCATAGAATGAGAAAAAGGAATGGACTCAGGCAGTCCCACAGCTCCTGCTGGATAAACTGTAGCCATCCTGGCTGTCCCCAACAAGGGGAAGCCTGAACATGGAAGCAGCTGCTCCAGCCCTCAAATGTGCCAATTTCCTGCCCATGAGGCAAGGCTTTCTCTCCCATTCTCCCTCCTTACATCCAGCCTGTCCTCTAGGCCCTGCTGGAATCTCCTCACTCCTGTACCCTAGCCTGTCTCAGGACTCCCACTGAGCTGATTTTATAGGGCAGGAAGCAAAATCCCAGAGACAAGAAGGCTGCTTCATCTGCTCCCTTGTCATGGGCATCCTTGGCATCAAAACCCACCTGGCAGTTTCCTGCAGGAAAATATAGGAAACTCCTCTGCCTGCGACGTCCTTCCCTTCATCTCTCTAACAGCAAACTCCTATTCACCCACTGAAGCCCAGCTCAAAGGTTCCCTTCCCCTCCTCTGGTCCCTCCACATCTTGGAGCCTACCCTATCCAGTGAGCACCGCTTGACCTGTTTTTCTCTAGGCAGGTGGTCTGAACTCTGGGAGGAGGGGTGCTCCTCCTACTCATGGTCAAGTTCCCCAGGGTGCTCCTAGCACACAGCTCGTGCTTTATGTGTCTTCACTGAAAGAAAGACACTAGCTTTGCTCCAGGTCCCGCTGAAGGATTTGGTGAGCCCTGCCCTTCGCTGGGCCTGGGCATCTGCCTAGGGAGACTGGGTTGAGTCCAAGAAGTCAGGCAGGTGCAAGCCTTGCGGGGAGCCAAGGCACCCACTGCCAGCCTTCTCCTGCACCTTCACAACCATCCCGCCCCCCCACCCCGTGTACTTTAGCAAGAGTGAGAGACTTGCCCATGGACCAGCAGAACTGGGATCTGAACGCCCCAGGTCGCAGTCTCTTTATCTATAAAACGGGGCTGTGCAGCATCAGGCCCTGCCTACCTTACTGGGAAGGCGGGAGGACAGAATGTGAAGACAGGACGGGGACAATTCTTCCGGGTGATGGAGAGTGTGTGGGGGGGGTGGGGGTGGGGGTCCCAGGCTGTGGGTGGGGCTCAGCTTTGTGACTTTAGGAAAAGTACCCCAAGTCCTTGGGCCTCAGTTTCCCCTTCTGTAAAAACAAGGATGTTGGATGAGAGGTGATTAAAGGGTCTTCTCAACCTCGACCGTTACTGGGGGGCTCTCGGGCCGGGCGCTACGTTCGGGGCCTCCCATCCAGCCCACCGGCCTTGGGCCCCTCCCCCGCGGACCGGGCCACGTGTCTGGGGTACTCACAGCACAGCGCGCCCCCCGCCCCCATAAGGCTGAGTGGAGCCCTTGGCTGGGAGCCCATACTCTAGCTTCCCGCCGACACCCGAGCGCCCCGAGCCCATTCTGCTCGCCCTCGGGCGCGTGACCCGGGCCGACCGGTCGGCAGGCCACCCCCTCCTCCTCCGCCGCCGCCCGCCGATTAGTCAGCAGTTGTTCTAGGCCCCGGTCCCTTCCCCCAGCCCTCCCTCCGGCCTCCGTTTCCCTCCAAGGCCGACTCTTCAGAGACGGTCCCTAGAGCCAGCGGGAGTAACCATTCCAAACAACCTAGCATCAACCGGAGAATCACTCCGACTTGTTACCAAGATCCGCTCGCCAGCCGCTCCCGCCCCTGCGGTGCTATTTTGGCCCACACGTCACATCCGGTGCTCTTTAGAGAGGATTAGGACTCGGTTTGCGGGTGCGAAAGCTGTGGTTCGTCCCTCCCTCTCCCACCCCCGTGGCCTGGCCCGATGGTAGCGCCCGAGGTTGCGGGTTTCGCGCCTGCGCAGTGCGGCGCCTAGAGGGAAAGCGAGAGGGAGACGGACGTTGAGAGAACGAGAAGGAAGGAGAGAGAAAATGGCGTCCACGGGTGAGTGTGGTGGAACTGCGGTCGCTCCGGCGACGGCCGGGATGCCCAAATTGGGGGCCGCTTGTTTCTCGGGGTGGCCGGGATGACTGAGTGGACCTGCCAAGAAGGGCGTGAGGTACCCGTCGCGGCTCGAGAAGCTCGACGGCCGGCGTCTCCCTCCGCTCCCTCCCCTCCCCCAACTGGGCAGGCCGGTTCTGGAACCTTCTGGCGCCCCCCGCGCGCGGGGGGCTCGAGGCGGCGGGTACGCGCGGGCCCTGCTTTGGTCTCCATTGTGTGATGGCCGTCGGGCCCCGCGCCCTGGGCAGCCCGCCACGTGGGCGGGGCCTGTGGCCTCTGGGCCCCCGCGTGGGGGTGGGGGGAGGGTTCGGCTAGGCTTCGGGCCCGGCACCCCGAAACCGGAGGTGGGGGGGGCCGGCGGCGGCTCGAGAAGCCGCAGGCCCGCTGACCCTCTGACTCTCCCCACCCCAACCCCATTTCCAGGGCGGCAGCCCAAGCCCGAGCGCTTCCTCTGCCTCACCGAGAAGATGAAGGAAAAAAGCAAATAAACAAAAAAGGTTTCGCGGATTTGTGAGCCGAGGGGCGCCGACCTATGAGCGGGAGCCCCGTCATTCTTAAAGCCGGGTCGGCTGGGGCATCCGGGGCCGCAGAGCTGCGTCTAAGGCGGGCTCCAACCCCCAAGCCGAACTTCTGCCCGAACTGGGGTTTAGACGGAGTGCCCCCCCGCTCCTTTACAGCCCCCCAATCGGCTGCTTCTTCGGGATTCGGTTTTTACCGTTATTAATTCTCCTTACCGCCCCAAAAGGCAATTCCCAGAGCCATTTTTCAGCAAACGCCGAGGGAGATTTTTTGTATAAGGCCAACCCGGATCGTGTGGCCAGAAATCCCCACCGAAAGAAATTTCTGGCCTCTTTGACTTAGGGGAAACAAAAGGCCCCAGTCGGCGTTTGAATTATACTTAAGTAATCGTTTCGCACGTTTATTCGCTTAGGTTAAGCCGAGAGGCTTGTTTATTTCGTGGACTGATAGAAGAGAGCGGAAGGAGGCGCGGACTGGACTTTGAAAGCCCGGGGTGGGAGCTGGAATATGATGTCTGGGGTGGTCCTTGACGCCCGGAGTGTGTAAGAGAGTAGCCTAAACGTGGCCTGCGGTTTGCAGCCTATTCCTGCACTAACTTGTGGTTATTGGTTGAGTGGGGCATTTTTGCCTCCGGGGGTGTTCTTAGGCAGCCTGACTCCAGGCCTTAAGAAGCAGTTGGAGAAGATGGAAGATGGGAAAAGCTCTGGGTCCTTCAGAGTTTTAATTTGAAAAGGGTCCAGAATCCAGCAACGGAATGACAGTTTAAGAACTCTCCGCAACTATGTAGTCAGTAAACAAGCAGGTAGATGCTGGCTGTTAGTGCCAGGGTACAGAGTGCCCCTAGAAGAAAGAACTCTGAAATAACCACAGTCTTACACACATCTTGGTGGGAAATGGTTTCCTCAAAGCCCTTTCCACCTTCCTCTTCCCTGCAGTGTTAGGATTTTGTAAGGAGGAGTGCTACTCTCCCTTCCCTGTTAACGTTTGGGGAGTAAATATGAGTGTTCAAATTTGTGTGTGGCTGGACTTGCCCCTTTTTCGTTCTACTTTGCTCAAGCTCTTTTTACTGGTAACCACCACATACTATATTAGAATTACAATTATGGATTATGAAGACACACAGTAGTAGGCCTGGCTGGGGGCCCTTTGCTGGGGGGGGGGTCACTAACTTATCTGGACTTTGGTTTCCTTTCAGTCCAAATGAAGGGGTTAGGCTAGACCTTTTAAGAGCTTTTTCAGCCTTTAGCTTCTGACCTTACAGCAAAGTATTTTGGCTCCCACAAAGTTGTCCCATAGTGACTTTAACTCATGATGTTAGTCTGAAGCTCTAAATCTCTGCAGTTTCTTGATCATGACTGCCTTAAAGTATCTAAAAGCCACCACCTTCGGTAATGTTAGTTGTTTTTCCTCCTCATGTGTAGCATATATAGAAAAGTACCTAGAGTATATGTCCACTTTATCGAAGAATTACAACGCGAACTCCCAAGTGACCACCATTCAGAGCAAGAAATAGAACATTGTCAGCACTCTGGAGGTCCCCCACCCCCACCCCAGTCACAGCCCCTTCTCTCCTCAACCTGTCCTGTATTTTTAGTGTAGTCTTCAGCTGCAGATTTGGTAGTTAAAAAAACAAAACAAAACAAAATAACTGCTAAAAAATCTGACAAATGTGTAACTGTAGATTTTTGAGGCCATATAATGTTTGTATGCTGTAGGTAGATACTAAGTTCTCATGAAGCACATTTGCCACTTCCTGTAGCCCACCAATATGGGGCTAAATCAGCTGGTTTCCCATGGATCTGAGATCATTCCTTGTTCATGTCAGCTTCGCCACTTTGATGTTTTACATAACTGTTCTTGTGTAGCAGTCCTCTTGCAGACATTGAGCTTACATGTCAGCTATTTAGAATCATTTCTCATACAGAAGCCTCTGCAGAAGGTAGTTTGAAGTATTTGATTTTTGATGCTTCATTGGTATGTTTATTTTGTAACTACAACATGGAAGAAGTGATTTGCATTTAGTTTTTTATATGTCACATACAGAGCTAAGATTGTCTTGAACAAATCAATTTGTTCATTATACATAGCCTTTGGCCGTTGATTTGATAATGTTGATGATTCAGGGTTCTGAGTTAAGGGTGTACAGAGGAAGGAAAGTGGTCAAGTGAAGTGTAGAGAGACGAAAAATGAGCTAAGTTAAAGAGATGGATTCAGCAAAATGCTCTGGGGGCAAGCCAGGTGAACTGTGAAGCAGGCTTTGAATGGAGTGGGGTTAGAAACCCCTCCACAAAGAGCTGTCAACTGTTGCTTTCAGGTGAGGGACTATTTTCTGATTGGAGAAGAAAGGACCCTTTGGTCTGCCTTAATGACAGTGTTGCCTTATAGAATAAGATACATAGTTCTTGTGGAGAGCAAAGAATTGGACAGAAAAAAAAAAGAATTGGGCAGGATTTTTTAAAAATAATTACTTTAACTTCTTTAAAAATATGTTTGATTCAGTAGTGCCATGAAAACCTCTTAACCATTTTGTTCTCTGTTTTCACTACTTGCAGACGCCTCAGTGGACCAGAGGGGTTTTTTTGTTTTCATTTTTAGTCCTTTTTTGTGCGTGTTGTAAATTTCTTATGAAAAGGAAAGTTGTAGGAAGCTTTACTTAGAGAGGAGAGGGGAAGATAAGTTGTTTTGTTTTTTTTAAGTTGAAATCACTTGAGTTTAAAAAGATGATGTTACCTAAAACCAAGTTATTCCCCCAAAGATTAAATGCTTTCTCCTCTGCCAGTTGTCATGATTCTGCCTTGACTGCTTCACTTGTACTTACAATGTGTCTAGTTTTTTAATTATTCTGCAGATGTAGCCCTCATATAGACAGCAAACCCTTTAAAACACTGGATTGAGATGATTGTCCTCTTGTTTTCTGCCATTTCATTTCACAGTCCTCCTAGGGAATTATGGTTGGTCTAACTTGCTAAAGTGAGAGAGTGATTTTTTTTTTTTAACTAGTTTTTGAGGAGATGTAGCTACTGGTATAACCATTCTGGTGTTAAACATTGTTATATTGTTGCATGCCTCCTTTTTATATGAAGGTAAAACTTCCGATCCTCTTGAGTTTATCTTGTTCTCCTGTTAGTTTTAGGATGATGATCATATATTTGAAATGACAGCCTACGGTTAAGGGAAGTTTGTAGTCATGGGAACATGCAAAGTATCTTTGCCAAATCAGATGATCTTGACCTCATTAGCTGGCACTTTGTTAAAATTTTCTGTTTAACTGGCTCAGATTTTTTTAGTTTGGTGTTGAAAGATAAGAGGTACTCATTTGGACCTGTGTTGTCCTGTAGGTCCTCTCAATACCGTGTTTTTTTTTTAATATATTTATTTTATTTATTTATTTTTGGCTGTGTTGGGTCTTCATTGCTGTGTGTGGGCTTTCTCTAGTTATGGTGAGCGGGGGCTTCTCTTGTTGTGGAGCACAGGCTCTAGGCACACGGGCCTCAGTAACTGTGGCGCACGGGCTTAGTTGCTCCACGGCATGTGGGATCTTCCCAGACCAGGGCTCGAACCCGTGTCCCCTGCATTGGCAGGCGGATTCTTAACCACTGTGCCCCCAGGGAAGTCCCTCAATACAGTTTTTAAAATTCATCTTCCTGCCACCTGAATTCCTTCCCCCCTTTTTTCCTTTCTCCTTGTAAACGTTGGCTTCACACTATTTTCTCTCCTTGTTTTCTCTAGATTACAGTACCTACAGCCAAGCTGCAGCCCAGCAGGGGTAAGTCGAACTTTTACAGCAGTACCTTGGGTGTGATTCGTTGTTTTTTAGAGTACAGAGCCTCCTTTAATTGTAGAGGATTTAGTAATGGAATCTGGATTTCTATATTCAGTTCTTGCATTTAATTTCTCTTACAGCTACAGTGCTTACACCGCCCAGCCCACTCAAGGATATGCACAGACCACCCAGGTAATCTTTAAGATAATTATTTGTGGCTGCATCCCCAAGTTAAATATTTCCATCAGCCATTGAAACAATAGCTAGCACAAATCTTTTTCAGAAATTAGGTAGTAGAAGAGTATAATGTGCTTGTAATCATAAAATACACAGGCGTTTAAACTTTCACAGTGGGAGTGCCATTGTAATGAAACCATCCTCAAACTGGGAGTTGCTAGCTCTCCTTTCCTCCCTAGTATGGTTTCTCAAGTTAGGTGTTTTGCTCCATGCTTGTTCCTTCTACATATTTTGTGTTTAAATTTATTTAACTTAATCATACAGCAGTTCTGCAGAGGAAGGTGATATTATGACATTTTGCAGATGAAAAATTGCAGTGCATAGATATTACACCATTCGCCACTGGTCACACATTAAGTGATGGGTTAACTCTTATGGGTGCCTAACTATAGGGCTTTTGAGCTCTTTCTAGTACGTGAGTCTATTCTAAAGTCTAGGCTAACAGATACTAGAAATTAGCCACCTAGTGTTCTCAATATCATCTCAAGTTCTGAAATGGTCTGTGGCATAAAATGGATACAGTAGCTCTGCCATGGAAACATTATAGGACAGGCAGAATGTGATGTCTCTGGCTGATCTTACATAACTGGTCATTCACATCTAGAATGTGATCTTGCTAATACCTGAAAAAACAGTTCATTCCTTGCCAGGTTTTAAGTATTACTGATGTCCAGGTTCAGAAGACAGCAGTCTTGCTGTCTTAAGAAGACATGCAGCGTTCTTGTTCATTTTCTTTGAAGTGGTATGATAATTTTAAAAATTTTGTCTCAAGCTGAAAATATAGTTTTCAAGATTGTCTGACAGATTTTAGTCCCGTTTTCATTTTCGTTGTTCATTTTATCTTCCTAGCATTTGTTTCCGTTTGCTAAAACTGCTACACTAAGTGCTGGCAATTATACACCTGTTCCCTCATTGTTAATCATTTGAGGGCATCTTGTTAATCTCCTGTATCGTTAAACTGTGGTTTTGCCTGATTATCTCAGGAACTTTTTTGTAGTTTACGAAAATATGAGTGGATTAGATAAGGAGAAACAAGCATTCATGATACTGCGATCACTTGTCTGGTTTTTTTTTAACCTTTTTATTAGAAAGCATATTTTTGACTTTGGTTTTCCAATTTAGGAACTTAGAAGTCAGTCCATTTTATTGCTAAAATGCAAGATTCATATATGAAGTTCTTAAATCCATTTTCTTTGAGCAGGCATATGGGCAACAAAGTTACGGAACCTATGGACAGCCCACTGATGTCAGCTATACCCAGGCTCAGACCACTGCAACCTATGGGCAGACCGCCTATGCAACTTCTTATGGACAGCCTCCCACTGGTAAGACTCTAGAGAGACTTTGGGGTTACATTAGCTAGGGTGTTTGCTAAGAAGCTTGTTACTTGTGCTCTTGGGTGTATATTCTGGTTGATACCTTGGCGTTTGGGAATCCTTTATTCTTAGGAGGAGCTGGGGGTTTTTGTTTTGTTTTTTTCCTTTTCATTATATTCTCCTTGAGGGATCTCTAATAGAATGTGGGTGGGATAAATTCCAAGGGAAAAAAGAACTTTTCATGCTAGCTATTTTATACAGTGTATTGAGTAATCTCACGACAAAATAGAGAATATATAAGAGATTGTGCTAATGCTAATACTGGGAAAGAATGAGCCTTCTTAAACTGAGCTGCTTAAAAATCAAACTGATTTTCACATCTGTTTGCTTCATCTGATAGTGTGCCCTCTACTTTTTGTTTTGTGCTTTCCACAGTAGAAGGGACCAGTACAGGTTTGACTATCCTGCTCATTCTTGCATGGGAATTGCTTTCCATCTTGTCTAACCCTGTAATGTTAACCCTTTAGGTGTTTTCATTTGTTTAACCCTCAAACTTTCTAACATCACACACAATAAGGTGCTAATGGAAAACTGCTTCAGGTGCCATTCGCAGATTCATGTCCCTTTTCTTTATGTGATTTTGGGAAAGGTTTCGCTTTTTTATTTTACATTATTTTGTGTCAAGCCTTAATAATAGTTGTTCACCTTCTCAAAGGTATTTCAGGTGACTACTCCCCAGCTGATTTCCCCCTATTCCCTGAAGGATAGATTGCATGATTAGATTTATTCAGAGGAACAGATTGCCACCTTGCATGTATTATGTTTGTCTGTTGGTTGGCTTCCGGTCCAGACACATTTTATTTTCTGTTTAAATGTTAATGAATTATTTTAATCCATAGTATGTCTTAAATATATATGTAACAGCATTCCAGGGAGCAAAAAAAAAAATTATTTTAAGAATTAGAATAAATTGTATCCTAATAATGGGGTTGAAATGGAGCCTGTGAAAATTTTACAATAACTTTTTTATGTTTGGTGCTGTGTGACATTTCAGGATCCCTACCTTTAAGATGTAAAAACTTTGATTTTTCAAACTATCTTTAATCCCAAGTTATATATGGTCTATCAGAGTCATTAGTAGGGAGAAACCCACCTGTAATTTATCTCACTTCGTGACAATGTCCTGGATTTGATGGGAAGTATTTCCTAATCTATCTCATTAATGCATATCATTGAATAGGATGGGAAATGTTTAAACTTTCTGTGGGTGTTGGCAACTGTAGGAAGAGGTGGAACTGAGACTCTGCAGTTTGTATTTTTAGCACAGGATTTTGAAATTGTGAGATGAACTTTACATTTTCAAGCTATTATGTTTTTAATGAGATGTAATTGACATATAACATTAGTTTCAGGTGTACAACATGATTCAATATTTGTGTATGTTGTGAAATCACCACAGTAAGTCTAGTTAACATGAATTACCACACATCTTTTTGATGAGAACTTTTAGGATCATCTGTCTTAGCAACTTTCAAATATACAATACAGTATTGCTAACTGTAGTCATCATGCTGCACATTACATCCCCATGACTAATTTATTATAGCTAGATGCTTTATATCTTTTTGACCTTAACTAATTTTAAAAATAAGTATCATCTGAAGTAATACAGCTTAGATCTAGCCTTTGGAGCCTTTGGATCATTTTATAAGAACATGATAAAGTCATTTATAGGAAATACAGTAGTCTTCTAGATTCTGTGGAGCCATGTTTTCACTTTGTAGTTTATGGAAGACCCTTCATATCTCCCCAAATTCTTCCATCAGCTCTTGGAGTGTAGGAACTAAAATTAAACCTAGTGAGCAGATTGAGGCTGAACCAAACCAAGCAGGACCCTGACAGTAGTAAGTAGGTTCAGGAACACTTAATGCTTTTTTCCTTACCTCTTACTGTCTTTACACATAAAAGTCATTAGATAGGGCTTCCCTGGTGGCGCAGTGGTTAAGAATCTGCCTGCCAATGCAGAGGACATGGGTTCGAGCCCTGGTCCGGGAAGATCCCTCATGCCGTGGAGCAATGAAGCCTATGCGCTGCAACTACTGAGCCTGCGCTCTAGAGCCCATGAGCCATAACTACTGAGCCCACGCGCTGCATCTAAAGCCCGCGCGCTCTAGAGCCCGTGCTCTGCAACAAGAGAAGCCACCACAATGAGAAGTCCGCACACCACAACAAAGAGCAGCCCCTGCTCGCTGCAACTAGAGAAAGCCCGCACACAGCAATGAAGACCCAACACGGCCAAAACTAATAAATAAATTTATTTTTAAAAGAGTCATTGGATAGTTATTGAAAGAAATATATAAAAAGACACTTATAGAATATTTTAAAATTAAGCTTCATGAGAGGGAGCTATATAAATCTCAACTCTTAATTGGAATAGAAATCTTAGACTTTAGTTTTTACCATTGAAGTTGAACAAAAATTCTGGTTGGTTTGTGTGATGTTTCTTACTACCCTTTTCCTTAAATTTATCAACACATAGTAGATATGTTGTCTTTTTGCTATTGGTCTTTTTTATTGTCATTAAATCATTTTGCTCTGTTAATTTTTGCTCATTTTGATTGGCTGCTTGTGCGGGTACTACAATTAATTAAAAGATTATTAATTTTCGGGCTTCCCTGGTGGCGCAGTGGTTGAGAGTCCGCCTGCCGATGCAGGGGACGCGGGTTCGTGCCCCGGTCCGGGAAGATCCCACATGCGGAGCGGCTGGGCATGTGAGCCATGGCCGCTGGGCCTGCGCGTCCGGAGCCTGTGCTCCGCGACGGGAGAGGCCACAGCGGTGAGAGGCCCGCGTACCACAAAAAAAAAAAAAAAAAAAAAGATTATTAATTTTTGAAAAAGATGATTAATTAACCAGTGTCTATTTGTGTAATCTTTAGCACTGCAAGGCTCTGTTGCTGGATACTTCTATGACACGAGTTACTGCCCTTGTCACTTTTTTTTGTTGTTGTTTTTTAATTGTTCTTCTTATAAATCTTTTTTTTTTAACTGTATTTATTTATTTTTGGCTGCATTGGGTCTTTGTTGCTGCCTGTGGGCTTTCTCTAGTTGCCGCAGGCGGGGGCTACTCTTCGTTCCGGTGCGTGGGCTTCTCATTGCGGTGGCTTCTTTTGTTGCGGAGCACGGGCTTCAGTAGTTGTGGCTCGCGGGCTCTAGAGCACAGGCTCAATAGTTGTGGTGCACGGCTTCGTTGCTCTGCAGCATGTAGGATCTTCCTGGACCAGGGCTCGAACCCGTGTCCCCTGCATTGGCAGGCAGATTCTTAACCACTGCGCCACCAGGGAAGTCTTCTTCTTGTAAATCTTATAGATGGCCTGTCATGTAGGGGGAAAAAAATCTGTGTAGGAGTAATAGGGTAGGTGGAATTAGATTCCAGTTAAATAAATGAGTGCT